ATTCTTTCTTAAAAAGAAACATACTCTCTGGTGATTTAACCTAGCTATTGAAAATGGCCCGGTCGAAATAGTGAAGATACCTATGAAACATGGTGATTTCCCATAGCCAAATGCTCCATGGTGCTGGAATATTTACCTACATTTGCCCAAGATAAATCACCCAGTCATGTAGGTAAATATACCAGCACCATGGAGCATATGGGATACCCTCTGGTAAACTAACATAGCTATTGAAAATGGCCATAGAAATAGTGGATTTACCAATTAAAAATGGTGATTTTCCATAGTTTTTTGTTAGTTTACCAGAGGGTAGCCATGTTAGTTTGGAGGGTAAACATCGCCCAAAACTCACCCGACATCGAGGCGGCCTCTGGTGGCGGTGGGGGTGGTCCCGGAGGTCCGGGAGGCGGCCCCGGAGGTCCGGGGCTGCGAGGCGAACTTTGTAGGTGTCCCCTGGCGCCACAGTGACCGGGGTGACCTGGGAAACCTGGAGGGTTCAACATGGAAAACAAGGTACCTGGCCTGGTAAACATACAAAAAACTATGGAAAATCACCATTTTTCATGGGAAAATCCACTATTTCTATGGCCATGTTCAATAGCTACGTTAAATTACCAGAGGGTACGAGGGGTGACCACGATTCAACCATAAAAGGCACTTGGCCATGACCGACAACGATGTGGATCTGACAAAGTAAAACATTCGGAAGATGCAGATGTCACGATGGACATCTTGCTTGAGCCAAACAAAAAAAACACGATGCCTAGTTTACTAGGCCATGAGATGGGTCATTTCATCATAAACCATCATCAATATTACATATGCCATTATTATCCCACTATTATCCCATGATCCCATTAATGTCTATTATCCCATGATTATCAATATAAAACATCCCATCAATGTTATCTGGTTGGTGGTTTTAACCATCTTGAAAAATATGAGTTCGTCAATGGGAAGGATTATCCCATATATTATGGACAATACCCTCTGGTAATTTAACATAGCTATGGAAAATCACCATTTTTAATGGGAAATTTACTATAAATGGCCATTTTCAATAGCTATGTTAGTTTACCAGAGGGTAAAACATGTTCCGAACCACCAACCAGTTATATATCCCACCCCATTTCTGGAGTCACACGAACCATCGCAACTCATCAGCAGTGAACGTTCCCCGAACGTCCCGGTCGAGCGGCAGGAAAGCGCCGCCAGCAGCCTTTTCGGGTGGTGTCTGCTCAGCTGCGAACCCGTTGCGGAATTCAAAAGAACAATACATAGCAAAATGATAATTATGTATGTTTTAAATATAATGCATATCTATATATATATAATGTATATATATATAATGTATATATATATAATGTATATATATAATTATATATATATAATGTATATATATATAATTATATATATATATTCTATCTACTACTGTACAGGATGATTATAGCTCAATAAGCATCAACCAAAAACCGTCAAGTGGGCATGGCTCAGTTGATGAAATGGTTTGAATTGTGGGCCCTCCCAATTTGACTTTGTCAACGAAATTATCCACAAAAATAGTCCGTTTCTTTTCTGGAAAAATAAGGTCGCTGATAAAATCAAAACCTCATTCCAGTTGGCAAAAAAAAAAAACATTTTTTCTGTTGGTTAAAATCTCCATATATCTAAGATGTTTTTGGAAGCACCTGTATTCTTGTTGGACGAATCTCACATTGTCTTCGGAACTGCTCATGTTGTTTTGTTTCCCCATTTTGGCCGATGAAATCCAAATGTTTGTTGCATGATTCCATTGTTTTGTTGGCGAAATCAGCATGGCTGTTTGGTCAAATCAACATCTTCTTTTGGTTAAATGTTTCAATGCTAACCCCACCCAAATGCTGGGATCTTCCTGACCTGCACTTGTGGGCTTAGCCAGGGCAGCGCCTGTCCTGGCTGCTTGGTGTTTTCATGGTTTAGTTTCATCCATCTATATAACTATATAGATATATCCATAATATCCATAATAGCCCCCAGTTATAGATATAGTTATATAATATATATATATATATAATTATACATATATATATATAATAGTATGATATAGTGATAAGCTAACTTCCCATCCATATTCACAAATCAACCTCTCGAATCCGAATGAAATGGCTGCTTAAGTTTTAATGGTTTCTAGTCATCCCATTTGAACTTTAATGGCTACACAAATCCCGAAATGGAATTCTTGACCATCCCCAAAATATGGCTATACAATGCTATATATATATAGCTATATATAGCAGTATATAGCTATATATAGCTATATATAGCTATATATAGCTATATATGGTTATGCAATCCAACTTAAAAGTCACCATAAATATCTAAGTCACCAATAGTCACCATAAATATCCATAAATCAAGTGAAATCTGCGGCCCAATCCCCATCTCCTCGCTGCAACACCTGCGGTCCGCCGCGCCGTGCCGGTGGCGGCGGCGGCGGAGAGGTCTCTGAGGTGGGCCCATCGCCGGGCGGAGGCGGCGGCGGCGCAACTGGCCCTGGGGAAATCGGCCATGTTCATCCATTTTTCCTATGAAAATTCATAGTTTAGTAAGGTTTATAGTATCAACATCAGCATTTTCCCCCGAAAACCCATGGTGGAGACATGGTTAAGAGTTAGCATTTTGCCTATGAAAAAAACAATTGAATGAATTTGACTATTTTATCATGTTGGCAAGGGAAATTGGATGCTTTTTATACTCATTGCATGAGGAGATGTTTCACAATTGTATGATGTTTCACAAGTTTAACCAGCCGCTGGAGTTCACCCTTAAAATGCTGCCAGGTTGATCAACAGAAATGTCCCTGGCTCGCCGGCCTGGGAAGTGGCTCATCGGCCTCGCCAAAGTGCTTCCAAGCAAAGGCTTTCAGGCACTTTTGCTGTGGTAGGTTCCAAATAATATTAGTTGAGGTATCATGACTATCATATATATATAATTATATAAGGATATGGGATTTGGTCGGCCATTTGAGGAGAGCATTGTTGCAGGTATCACATCTATAATCGAATAATCCCAGTTCAGGCATGGTAAAGAGGGGATGAAACCACTGACTGGGACCATGAACCATGGGGGTGTTGATGGTATATATGTATTCATGTATGGTATATTCCATTATTTTCATGGGGTATGATGGTATATTCCATGGATCCTATGGGAATTCACAATTTACATGGAAATTCATTACCCCATAAGATCCATGTATGGTATATATATGCTAACAATTGGGGTATACTGATGGTAAATGTTACCATAAATAGCATACATGGATCCTATGGGTACTAATGAAATTCATAAGTCAATTTCATGAAATCATAGTACATCCATTTCCATTACTACTGTGGATGGGCCAGCGAAATCCTGCACCAGTTGAAAACGGTGGTAAACATCCCATTATTTATAGGATTTCAACCATCCTTTTGGTGGCGCAGGACTTCGCAACCATCAACAGTATTTCATCATTAAACATCATTATTACTAGTATATGTTTTTTCATTGGTGAATGATGGAAAATTGGAAAATCAGTGGGTTAACAATGGCTGATAATAATGGTTAATAATGGTTAATAAAACACCCAATCATTAACCATTATTAACCATTATTAACCATCGTTATTGACCATTATTCACACAATGATTGTCCACCATTCACCAATGATTATCAACAGTAGTGATTACACCAATCATCGACATAGTCAATTGGTTACACTATGAGTGATTGGTCTATGATTGGTTACAATAGATATATAAATTGACTAGTAAATCCATTACCATTATTACTAGTGATTACATATCATATACTATGCTCCACTCAATGCGCCAACTTTTGGCCAGGCAATGACTCAGACTTCTGCACAGCGCTTTGTCCTTTACATCCAGCTGCGGCTTTTACAGGAACGCTGGAAGAAGCGGCCCCAAGTGTATGGGGGGGAAACGAAGATGGGCAGGGTGACACTTGAGCGTACAAGATTCCACGGAATCGGCCACATCTCTACTAATCGCTATGCAACATCGTTCAAAGAACACAAATGCTCCACTCAATGCGCCAACTTTTGGCCAGGCAATGACTCAGACTTCTGCACAGCGCTTTGTCCTTTACATCCAGCTGCGGCTTTTACAGGAACGCTGGAAGAAGCGGCCCAAATTTGCAATCCAATTCACCCATGTTTGGGCAGCCATCTGGCTTCGCCGACATCTGTCATAGGTGTTTAGAAAAATTATGAGCAATAAGCGCAGTCTGAAAGTCATAAAAATCTTTAGCTATTGCTGTACACATTCGTGGAGCATATGGTTCAGCCAATTTTGTGAGCCATTGACCCGTTGCGGATCGGCCACATAAATGTTGGTGATAATTTCCTGTGTGTTGACAGATGCCTCGTTTTGAGGAATGACAAACTCCTAGAGATAAACGTTGCAGTTGCACATGCACTGACAAGAATCCAGTCGCCTTTTTGAACACTCGCCCCCAGGCGCAGTAATGCGTGACTTGCCAAAAGCAAAGCTTGTTCCGAAGAATCTTGCAAATGGGTGGACACAGCCAAACACGACTACGTTGAGGATTTTCCATAGAAGCAGGCACCATCATCTTTAAGCACAAGGTAAGGACTGCAGCGGAGAATCTCATAAACAGGTTGCCTAACCAAACCTTTAAGGCATCATGAGGCTTGAGGCCAGATAATCCCAAGGGAAATTCATCGCTTCTCAACGGAGGTGGCCCAGGTGGAACATCTCTAGCCCTGGAAAAGGATTCGCATGGAGTTCCAAGGTGAATGCCTAGGATCTTGCCACTTCGGATCCAATCCAAGATCATTCGTCTCTTGGCAGGTGACCGCAAATCATATTCAGGACCATGCAAAATGTCCCAAGTCAAGACACACCATCCTGTTTCACGCGCAATTGCCTTTGCCAAGTTGCCACAACCTGAGAAGATTTCCAGGAAGACAGCAAAGCTAAGAGCCCGAGTGACTGCTAGCGCAGGCGCAGGAAAATTTGCTCGATGTTGCTTGCGGCGTCGAGAGCGTCGCTGAGGACCTTCTTTGGTAACTGCCGAAGGAGCTGTTGGAGCCTTCCTCCCTTCTCGTACCTCCGAACGGAGGCGAAGCTCTTCCATCGGCCGCGACGTTGGATCTCTTCCAATCGCCTCAGCTTCAGGGCAAAGTCGCGACTGGCCCCCCCGTGACGGAGTCTGTACGGGTGAGCCGGTCCTAGTGCTTCCAGCTGAAGGCAAGAGCTGGCTCTCTCCATGGCATTCTTCATGTCGGTGGCAGAGTGTCGAAAGATGAGTTCCCTCGGACCTCTTTGCCCCAATCGCATCACCTTGAACACGGCCTTGGGCACAAAGGTGTGGTGATCGAGATCGAACATGACTGTCTCGTCGAATTCTCCGGTCTTGCTGCTGACTTCCTCCTCGCTTGGGTGAAGGACCACTGACCACTGACCCTTGCCCCGGCCTACAGGCCTGATGAAGTCCATCACACGAAGACGGGTGACCTCCCCTGGCCTGAGATAAAGGGTGAAGCAAAGGGCAATCATCAGGGCCATCTCGGTCTCGTTGGATTTGATGAAGTGCACCATCATCAGACACACTGCTTCCCAAGGCAGAGGGAGCCTTGAGCGTGGAGGGTCTAACTTCCTCCACCCTTGCAAAGCCTGGCGGGTCATGGGTAGCTTTGTCATGCGTGGACCCTTCAAGTGTGGCATGAAGAAAGTCACTGCTGCTACCATGTACTGAGCTTTGCTGAGATCTTCCCCCTCTCCAAAAAGATACTCCAGAAAATCTGCGAGCAGGCTGTCCACAACGCTGTTGTCTGCCGCTGGGTCCCCAGTCAGTCCAGTGTGTTGGGTGAACAGAGCCCAACAGTCCGCATAACGTTTTCTGCAGGTTTCCCCCACCGACGCTGCTCGGAGACCCCCGACAGCTTTCAGAGTTGCCTGTCGCTCCTGCTTGCTTTTCTTCGGTCTCTGAATCAGAGGAGACGGTTTGGGTTTGGCCTTCGACTTGACTTGTTTCGAGTGGCCCTTTTTTGGGGCCTGACCCATGGGTATCCATCGGTGAATCATCAGATCTGGGTCGCCTCGAAGGCTTGGAAGGAAATTTCGAGCCCCTAGACAGCCCGTCAGAGACATTCCATTCTGAAGGTATCCACCGATAGGAAAACATTGTGTTTGAAGCAAGTGTCAAAGCGCCTATCTGTTGTGTAACACGACGCATCTTGTGCGCCCTGCCACGACCCTTCTCCAGTGCACAAACAGCAGAAATAGAATCGGATAAAATCAAATGCCGCTTGTTGAATGAACTGGCTCTTCGCAAAGCATGTTTCACCGCGAACAGGGATGCTCTAGCTTCTAAAACAGGGATAGGTTCCAAACGTTTCCATTTATATCTACCACAAACTTTCCACTTCTTATCCATGGTTTCAAAAGGAACTTGGGTGAAAATTTCTTTGTCCCTCTTGGCCTCTACCACACGCAACGGCTGTAACCCACTGCTGGCCTGCAAATCGGTGTTGGCCCAGATAGCCGCACCATAGTCCTGAGCAGCGTCAGAGACATCAGCCCCAAAGGCGCTGACCCGGGGTTTGTTGTGCTGGGCTGTCTGGAACCTCCACCTCTCCGCAAACCTTCCAAGTTCGCCTATCTCATCATGTGAAAAACTGGTTGAAGTTGCCACAAGTCCCCATGTCGATGCATCCACAGCCACCACTTCGGGATCCCAGGGAGAAGCCAGGTTTCGCCAGATGAGGGGACAAATGCCAACAAAAATCAGTATTTCACGACGCACAGATTTCCAAATACGGTGAGGATAATGATAGTGCTTCTGAATGAATGTGAAAATATCCCCAAAAATGGAAAGTGCTTCACGCCGACCCAAACAGAGAAATGTTGCATGCCCCAAAACTTTTTCCAGCTGTCGGCCACTGACTTTGCCGATACGAAGCATGTGAAGGAAAGCCAACCTCACCCTCCAAACCCTATGGCTCTTCGGTCTGAAGATGGCATTGTTGAATTCCCATCCAAGCACTGAAACGTTTGCTGATCCGCTCTCTTCCTCATGAACGACCAGACCAGAGTCCCTGAGTTCTTGCACACCTTTGTCAGCAAGATTTTGAACTGCTTCAGGGTCAGTCCCAATGACAACAAAGTTATCAACATACTCAAGATGCATGCAGCGACCATCAGGGACGGCTGCCTTATCTTCGAGGCAGTTACTAGCCACTGCACCGGCCCTTGACACTATCCGTTGATGAATAGACTGACACCACCAAAGTGCGTGATTCCAACCCATTGGTAACACTTTGAGACGTGGATAGATCCTATGATTATAAGCGACCTCCACTCCATCCAGACTGTGAACCCCAATCTCCCCTGCAAAAACTGGCCGCATGGAAAAATAGGGACGCAAAAGATCAGGAAGCTCAAAGTGATAAAATGCATCTTTAAGGTCAGCAGTAGCAATATATAATGATCCAGTGTCTTCCAAACAGATACGTGACAAGGCTTCGGCAGTGCAAAGATGAACTTTGTCAGGCTGAGCAAACCAAGCATTACTTCTTCTACAATCAATCACCATGCGAATTCTATTATCTTTCTTCTTCACAAAAAAGGCCTCAATCTTCTCAGCTCCGGGTCTCACTGAAAAATCAACAAGATCAGCTTCATGCAGCCGTTTGATGAAACCACTGTAAACCCGAGGATCCCGAAGCTTGGGATCGGAGTAACACTGTTTCACCCCGCACTCCCTCAAATTCTTGAGGGCCTCATTCTCATCCAGAAGTCTAGAGCGAATAAAGTCACTCACAATCACTCCACCGTCATCACCAAGCAACTGAGCAAGAGGCATGGATTTGTTCCCCTTGTCCGGCAGCGAGAGCAACTCCGGCACGTAAGTGGCGATGGAAGCTGGGCACTGGTCTTCCCCATATCCATCAAAGGCCCGGAGCTGGCTGACCGCCCCTGGGCCGGTGAGATCACAAGGCGGTGACCCCATGAGTTGCACTGAATTGCGGATATGCTTCAAAGCTTCAACCTGTGGCATGCTAGCCCCAAAAGTCCCTGTCTTCGCAGGGCCTAAAGGCTGATGACTGTAAAGTGAATTCAAGGCCACAACGCACTCCTCGGTCAGCTGATCAACATGTGAAGTTTTCTCCAACCTGCGCCTCACTTTGCGGCAACAAGGAACAGACCGGGGTTTCTCCAGGGACGAACAGCTTGGCAAAGGAAAAAGATCGCGTTGAACAGCCCTATCATCTGAAACCAAAAAGGTCGAGGATTTCCCGGGCAACTGGGCCGACCCATCCACAGCTGCCCCAAGGAAGGTCAAGGGCCTTCCTCATTCTTCTTGCCTTTGTTCTGCTTCCTCGCCAACTCCCTCTCCTCTCTCGCCTTCCGCAGGTTCTTTTGAAGTGCGGCGTCTCGCTCAACTTCTTCCTTGACATGAGACAGGAGGTCGGGGGAGATCATGAGGGTGCCACTCTGCCGAACCACACTACCAAATGACGCTTGCTCTTCAAGGGATAGCTTACCACCTGTGGCCTTGGACTCGGCCTCACGGGCCTTCTCACTATGGGCATACTCAATGGTTTGGAGTCTACGAAACATGAGCTCGATACCTTGACTGTTGCATGCATTGATCATGTCGGTCTGCAAGAGGTGCTTAACAAACATAGAAATCTGAAAATGCTCCATGACCCCCCAGCTTGAAGTCTCCAGCTTGCACAACTGACGAAAACGTTCGTGATGGCCTTCAAGGCCCAATCCTTCAACAGCCAGGTATGCCAAACACCATTTGGAGGTCTTTGGGCCAACGATCTTCCATCCCAACTCATATTGCTTGCTTTGGGCAGACACATCATTGAGAGTCATCTCGGGAAGGCCCAATGCATTCTTCTTACGTGCAAGGATGCGGCCATCACACATGGCAGGTCTGTTGTTGAAATCGTCTACGGTCTTCTCTCCCACACATATGCAAAAAACCTTCTTACCATTGGCCAAGACATGAATGATCTTGTCCCCAATAACTGGTGCATCTTGTACCCCTTGGGCTCTATCTCCGAAAACGACCCCGCAATCAGACTCAGCATACACCCAAACGCCCTGATCCCCAGCGACATCGACTGCACCAGGGGCCCGTGGTTCGCCAGCTGAAGCTGCCGTCAGAGGAGCCGCAGGACTCACGGCAGCCACTGGCGCAGCAACCGCCGCAGGAGCGGCACCCCCTCCAGGCCCACCAATGTTGCGCCTCCGACGCTCTGCAACGGCTTCCGCCGCAGCATCAGCTTTAATCGCATTGAGCTCGGCTGCGCTCCAGTTGGGAAGCCCATACACCTCAGCAGCAACGACGCCGGGGGGCAATCGGTTGGGGCGAGGCCGCACTCTGAATGCTCGGAGGTCTGGATTCAAAGGAGACATCGTTTCCGCATATATGTCACGGTCCGGAGTACATATGATGTAGTCATCTTGCTCAATATGGTCCAGGATGAGACGCTCATGGTTGATGGTTGGTCCAGCAACATCATACTGGATCAGTGCCACTCTATTGGTGAGGGCCATTTCGCCTCAGTCTCACCTCCGCCAATTGATGCAAGGCTAAGTCACGAAGGCTGTAAGCCGGGCTCACAGGCTCTGAGATGGACAAACGCTCACTGCCAGACTTGGAACGGGGATCCCTTTGACGGGTAAAACAGCACAAATAGAAAATGATGATCCAACTGATGACCAACAAGCCCAGAAGACACCACTTTGCCCACCAACTAAAATCACCCAATCCGTTGCCCTCAAATCCAATCTCAGAGGCTGAAGGGGGAGAAGGATCAAAGGGCGGAAATCCCAAATCACGGATAGCCAAAGCTGCACCACGATGAGCAGCCTGTTCCACCAAGGAACTCTGATCCCAACCCCAGAATAGCCAGAAATTCAGCACAGTCACAAGCTGCCCCGCTATGGCTCCCAAAATGAACAGGCTCCACACGGCAAGGCCCATGACAGATGTCCCTCTTGACACTTGAGCGTACAAGATTCCACGGAATCGGCCACATCTCTACTAATCGCTATGCAACATCGTTCAAAGAACACAAATGAATCATTAATCACTGGTGAATCAGTATTTCATAACTGAGATCATTACTGATCAATAATGATTATAGTAATTTATAGTATAGTAAACCATTATAAAACAATTATCATATACGAAAAAAATATAGTATAGTATAGTAAACCATTACCATTAATAGTATCGTAAACCATTATATACCATTATCATATACTATAAACCATTATCATAATACTATACTATAATCATTATTGATCAGTAATCATTATAGTATAGTATTAAAAAAAACTATAGATGGTTTTATGGTTTGGTTTACTATTACACTTGACAAAAAACCATCCCCATCAACCAATCCCCACTGGATCCCCACTGGATCCCCAATGGATCCCCAAAAGAAGCGCGTTTAAACCGCGCAAACGAAGCGCCTCAGCTGCGGAGACGTCATGGGCCCATGCCTAGCGCAACGCGCAACCATGGACCACTGGGACCACTGGATCCGCCCAAACTATGGCAGCTCAGAGATTTTCATTTCACCGTTGTCCCAAGTGAGGAAGTCCATGTTTCCAACCAGATGAAACATGTTAGGAAAGATGATGAAACATGATGAAACATGCTCCGGGAACATCTTCCGGATGCCTTGGATTTGGATGAAGCAAAAAATCCTAGTGGTGCATCTTCCTCTGTGCGAGCGACACGAGCGACATGGCACCCCTGGAATGCCCAATGGAAATCATGACCGATCCCAAACGACTTTCGAAGTGTGATTCTCCGGGCTGGCAGCTTCTGAATGCCATCCTACTTTCTTGCTATGTGCTATGGACCATTGCAAGCCTCAAAGATGTCAAGAGAAGGTTCACTTGTGAACTAATCATCTAGATATCTATACATTCGTCAATGGCTTCAAAGTGGTTGTTCACTCACTATCCTGCACTAAACAAAGATGACAACATCCGGTACCAAAATATCCAGGTGTTCGCAGAATGAAGGGAAATCTACAGCAAACCGCTGTAGCTCATGGATTTTTATCAGGGTTTCTTGTAAAACAAAGAACTTAAATCCAGGTTTTAATTTTGTTGACTTCTTTCCATAGTTTTACCATTTCAAAACCCTTCAGATCTCCGTTGCGTCCCGAACCTCAAGGAGTTCCTGAGCACGGGCTCCCAGGAACCAACCATGACTGGAAGCCATGGCCCATGAAAATATATGTGTTATCAAGAGCTAAATCATGTTTTCCATAGCAAATTGTGACCGTCTATATCCAATTTCATCAACCAAAACCTTAACATTGGGGGGAGCTTTATGGTGATTTACCACATTGTATATTAGGTACCATCGGGATATCATGTTTTTCAACTGGCCAAGAAGATGATCTTTGAAACCAAGAAGGGGATCATAAGACAGGAACTGGTTGTAGTAATCCCCTATCACGAGTGAATAATTTGACAAGGGATACCTAGCGAAATATCTTGTAACAACTGATAATCTTTGAATCATCTTGCTTCAGTTCATCTGATAATCGTTGAATCAACCAAATTAAGGCTTATAAACTACCAACAACACATGTCTATATAATATACTATTATATATACCCTCTGGTTATTCAACATAGCCATGGAAAATGGCCCATTTATAGATGATTTTCCCATGAAAACCTCCATTTATGAGAAATTGTCCATGGCTATGTTAAATAACCAGATGGTATTATAAATGTCAGATCTTAATCAGCGATCAGATATTGGGGGTCCTGGGCCACATGGGCCATGGACAAACACCAATGGATCCACCAACGGAGTTTCTTGGAGCGGGATGTTTGATGTTTCCCGCTGGGAGCTTCAGCGATGCGAGGATTCTGGTTTATGCTGGGAGAAACCACCGAAAAAGGTCTGAAGATGCTACCCCACCCATTCCATGCAGCGGTTCATCACGAAATTTTCCCGAGTAGAACCGATTTTTCCACGCTACTTCATCGGCTTTAGGGATCCAGCCACCCCTGAACTGCTCCACAAGTCCAAACTCGAAAGTCTAGTGGACATGGATTTCCCAAAATTGATCAACATTGGTGATGTCTAATCGCTTCCCTCCGATCTTATAGAACTGCTCCACCGAAACCATGGTTGAGTATTTTAGGATCTGTTCAGTTTGCTTGGCATTTGGCTGGTATGTCATATTAGGTGGAATGGTTTCATCCAGTAGCCATGTTTCAGGCTTCCAGGTCTCTTCTCCCCCGGAAATCTGGACCGCAGCTCTCTTCCACAGCCCAGTTGAAGTTTTTTTGGAGCCAAGTAGCAGAATATCCTGCACAGGGCATGCAGAGCTACCAGGGCTTGTGCTAAGAGCGAATCTCAACCATCTATTCTTGTGGGGGTCACGTTTCGCGAGGATAGGTTGAATCCCCATGCATTTCTAGATGAGACTGCATGGCTCATGATCCAGATGTCTTCTCAAACGTGCTCTTGAGTTTCTTGAGTCTCGAGCTTTCCAGCTGCTCCTTGTGACATTTTATATAACTCGAATGTAGAAGATTGGGTTCAGCTTTCAGGTTCCCTGGGAATCTACTGTAACCTGGCAGTGAAAAATCCCATGACACATGACTTTTCCATTAGCTTCCAGGCTTTCTATTGGGTGCCTAAAAAAGTAGCCAACACATGCAAGAATGGTAGTTGAGGAGACCAACTCTTTCCAATAAATGGGTGTGTCCAGATCTGTGGTATTCCCAAACTGTGATGGTTAAAATCATCACTTTCCCAATCAACCTTGCCCTTTTGTGGGGCAATGTGGGGCATCCCCAATTTTCAGACACCCAAAAAGGAAGCAGTCTGCAACATCTGCAACCTGCTTCGGCCATGGCCGTTCTGTGCTGGAAATTCACATCGCTTGCTGCTTGACCCGTGCAACTAGGGGATGAAAGATAATTTCTTTCCTCTAAAAAGTGGTGAGTCTCAGGGTCCATGTCAATTGAGGGATGGTTAAATCATTAAAGCATATTAAATCCACATCTTCGATGCTGAAATCACCAATTTTGAGGGTCTATAGCCCCCGAAAAAGAATAGAAACGCAAAATCCTACCTACAAGGTGCTGCCCCCATGGTTAGCTAAGTTGGTGCAAATAACTCCAATAAAACTTGGGTTTATGGTAGATATACCTATACTTCATGGAGGTTATACACTAACTTATAACTGGGGGGAGCACCACCTTCTAGGTGTTGGTGAACCCGGCATCTCCCGCGCCTGTCCGGGGTTGGCCTTGGGCTGCACACAGGGTGAGCCCATATTGGGCACCAACGCCGCCACGGCGGGATCCTCTGTGGGACTGATCTCGGGATTGATGATATTTTCAATGACCATTTCAGGAACCGATTGATTGGAGGTACCTACCATATAAAAGGCCTGGCCTATTTTTCAGGCCTAAGGGAAACAACTATATCTGTTTGGTGGTTAAGCCTACCCCTCTGCAAAATATGAGTCAGTTGGGATGATGACATTCCCAACTGAATGGAAAAAAATAAACCACATGTGCCAATCAGTTGATGATATTTCCAGGCTGTAAAAATTGGGGATATAAAATTTGATGAGTCAAAAGCTTGTTAATTTGGTGAACCCCAACATAGCTGGTAAATGGGTCTTCATTTCCCCAAATATGGTATAATGGGTTTTGATCCGTCCACATATATCTCCAACTATCAACAAAGTAGGGAAAATGATGATGAACCATGATGATTTTGGGGGGATCAACCCCGGCAAGCCTTGGGATACTGGGTCTCCTACCCCTTTGATGCTGGAGGTTGGCCCGAAGATAGATAGGTATATATATATAATATATATATATATATGGTAGCTATATATATATATACAATATATATATATATAATATATATAATATATATATTATATATATATTATAGTGATACTTCCAACTATGAATAGTGTAGCCCCCATGTTTTAATGATTGTTTGTTCTTCCCAAAAGCTGGCTGTGCGTCATGCAGCACCGCCCTGTGTTCTCTCCGATTCAACATGAGTACTCTAATCTGGCGATTGAACATCACCACATTGAAAACTGGTTGGTGGTTTCAACCATCTTGAAAAATATTAGTCAATTGGGAAGGATTATCCCATATATTATGGACAAAAATAAAAAATGTTACAAACCACCAACCAGATTAGCTACTGGACATCAAGAAATCAATAATTTTCCAGCAATCTTTGATTACCAGATTGGTATTTTGGATTTCATTGAGAGTCTATCAGTAGGAACATTCGTCACCTGAATGGTTAGTGGCCACAAGCTCCCCTGTTGATCTGCCGACTCCATCAACAAAGTTGGATGAAAAAAAAACAAGGCCAGCAACAGGCACATTGAATGTCATTCCAAGATTGCTTACTTTCTATGTCTTTCCCCTCATCGTAAGTTTGCCACCAAACAATTCTGAAGTTAGTCTGGTTGTCTTCAGCCCGCGGATTCTCTTCAGTGTAGCGCAGCAATCCCTTCCTCTTCTAGAAAATACGTCAAAAAAAAAAACAGGCTTATTAGCTTCATGTCGGGAATGTGATTCTATGAGATTCTATTGGGATTCAATTTCGTCCTGCAACTTAGTGGGGCGCATTCAAGTTTTTAGATTCCGTAGCATGGTTTCCTGAAGCAACAGAAAGCCAAAAAAAATCCTCAATTTGGTGAATCCCTATTGTTTCATACATCCCAAAAAGATACCAATGTTCCTAAATTCCCATTGTATCTTGGTGAAGTCCCCATGGTGGATTCGCTCATCCATAGGCTGAAGCGGACAGCCAAGCATCTGCCGCCACGGCATCCGCACCGGCGTCTGCGGCTCGAGCTGGTGAGTACCTCGCTGCAGCGATGTTTCATGATTGCTACATCCCTTTTGTTTTTGCTGGGAAAAGAACATAGTACTTGGTGGTTCATCCCACTTAGTAAGCGGGTTATAACCCCAGTTATAAGTGGATTAACCCTACTTATCCCATTTATAACTGGGGTTATAACCCACTTACTAAGTGGGATGAACCACCAAGTATCACATAGCTTGATTTGTCAATTGATATCCAAATATGATCAAATAGTATGAATTCCCAACTAGTATCAAATAGTATCCCCTTGATTTGCAGAACACATCTAAAAAGTATCTTAGTATGAAAATAAATTGAGGGCCCAAATCATATCTTTTTTGCGCTTGACCAACCCCGCGCATCAAACACGCACCAAGGCACTGTCTCGCCGGGTAGTCAGCCTCAGGACCCAGAAAGGCCGCTGGCGTCACCTCAATGCCCCTGTTGTGGACGGGCCATCTTTGGGGTGGAGGTTTCCTGCTTGTCATGGAGGTACCCCAACAGCTGGATGGTTTATTTCATGCAAAATCCTATTAGAATTAGATGATTTGGGGGTAGCCGCATCTTAGGAAACCTCCATATACGATGTTTATGCCGTTTACAGACAAAGCCCACTTGGGATCTGTCAACCGTAGAATCATGGTACCTCCGGTTGCATCAAACATGTCTGGTCTAGCCGGGTCCCCCAGCAGGTTGCTGTGTCGGCGGCTGGTACAACGCCACACCCTTGGCCGGGAGACAATTTGGAGGTCCCAAAAATGGGTCGTCCTGAAATGGAACGCCATATCTGTGATTTGGACCTTTTTTAGATCCAGAGAGCAGCTCTGGAATCGGATCATTGGATGTACATGGTGGGGATTTTCCTGCCATGTTTGATATACCAAAGGGTCAACTACCCTCTGGTAAACATACAAGAAGGGGAAATCCACTATAAATGGCAATTTTCAATAGCTATGTTAGTTTACCAGGGGGTATTTTTTTTAAGTATCCGAGAGGTACACCATGCACCCCATTGACCTGACCTTGACCCAACGACCCAACACGAACGAAAAAATTCGGCCGTCGTCGTCCCTGGCTGGGTCATGGTAAAGAACTTCAGCGCCGAGAATTACTGGATGTAGATTCAGAAAAACACCAGGTCATTTTTCACACGGAAATGGAAAATCACCCGAATGACTGGGATGTCCCATGATCTCCGAGTTACAAGGTGGCTTAAAATATCTTATAGCTATACAATATAATATATATATATCTTTATCTTACTTGTCTGACTGTTACCTCAATTACTTCCAGTCGTTGTCCCCGCTATTGCTTAGCCAAAAGTCCAGGTCTTTGTTTGGCTTTTGGAGAAACTCAACCCAGTTTGCAACGAAGGGACTAAAAGGTGATACCCTCCGGTGCCATCAAACGTGGCTGGCCGAGAAATCTCCATGAAAAATGGAGGTTTATAGCTGCGAAAAATCATCTACAAAAATGGTGGATTTTCCAGCAAGCCCTTTTTGACTACCGGAGGGTATATAATTTAGCCATGTATACCCTCGGGTAAATTACTACGGCCCATGCAATGAAAATCAATCATGTTTAATTAATTAATGAGTTTGTGTAAATCGTTTGCAACAGGAAGCCCACAGAAAAAAAAACAATCAATCATCAATCGTATCCCAGGTTTGTTGGTTAAATCCATATTTCATGGTTGATAAATCCCCAGACGAATTCATCAACAAGGATCAACTGGTTCAATTCGTCCACACAAAATCCAGTGACATGATCAGTTTTGATGTTTAATTCCCAAGTGGATACACCTTGAGTACCTTTCTTATTGTTGTTATTATGATTACTATTGTTACTATTACTATGATTATTATCGTTCATGTATGTATATCTATATATACATATAGAAATATCCAATGTTTGCCCGGTAAATCCATTGAATTGATTAATACTAAATCCCTAAAAAGTTGCTATTCAATTCATATTTGATAGCTCAATTCCTGGTCCATCCTCAATGAACGAGGTGAATAACCCCCTGCCATAAATTAATTGGTTGTATCCCCATTTTGGTTTGTGAAATGAGATATCGACACCCTCAAAACGAAACAGAAAAGGTTCAAAAAAGACCTTAAACTTGGTCTTCAATTGGTTCCAGCTATCTACACAAATGGTGCATGTGTAAACAAAAATCATAAAACCCCGCTTCAAAATGGCAGTTCCAATCCATACTGTAGATGGTTGCGAAATCCTGCACCAGTTGAAAACGGTGGTTGATTATCCCATTATTTATAGGGTTTCAACTAGTTTCAACCATCCATTCGGTTGCAAGATTTCGCAAGCACTGCGAGTTTCGGACCCAACTCGCCAGGTGCTCCCACGATGCTCCGCAGATCACGTTTCTGCTTCAGCACTTCGATGGCGCCGCGCGGGTCCCGCTCCGCCCTGGCGATGCAGGGGTCCCAGGTGCGGAGCCGGCCGCTCTGGAGTTGGTTGAAAGAACTTAGGCATTTCTTCGGCAAAAGAAGGCTGGTTGGTGGTTGAGGTATACCTACTCCTCTGAAAAATGATGGAGTTCGTCAGTTGGGATGATGACATTCCATTCCCAATATGATGGGAAAGTCATAATCCATTCCATGGTTCCAGTCACCACCAAGCATTTATAGGTGATTTCAATGATTTCATGAGATTTTTTATGTTGGAACTGCATGGGATTTTTCGTAGATGTCTCGAACTGATCGAAGGCGGAAGGGGAAACTGAAAGAATCACTGATACCAAATATTAGTATTAGATATAATGATGGTATATAAATACATATTTGGGATGGGAAAATATAATTAGGATCTATCACATATATGTATACCAAATATGTACTAAATATAGATGGGATAGATCCTAATGATTAATAAATTAAATATATGTTTAATATAATTCTATACCAATAAAGTTATTCTGAATAAGAGATTGGATGGGGCAATTACATTACTATATATACTATATAGTATTCCATAGATCACTATACCACTATAGTATGAGGTACTGGTTTAGATAACGTAAGTATATAACAAAGTACCGCAATCCTATAGAATACGTTTGTTAGTAATGTAGAACTTAAACAGATGTTACAGTAAGCTTGTAAACCCACCATCTGTGGTTTTACTGAAGAATTGCATGTTGCAGGGGCAAATTGATGATACAGAACGGGGTCAGCCCAAATATCTGGTCAGGATGTTATGATTATCCATCATATCGGAAAAAATAGTGAGGCTCTCAACAATTCTTGACTCCAAACATTCAGTCTCAAAGGAGTCCTCCTGAAAGCAGTCATACGACTGATGGTTTTTTCAACGACCAGATGTTTGAATAATCTTCAAGAAACATATGATTGACCAACCCGACATCAAGATCGATCAGCAAAAATTCTAAGACAAACCACTGGGAATTGAACAGCTTGACATCACTTGACCGACATTGCTGACTTTAACATGTGTTTTCCAGACATATTGTTGCAACCCTATTTGTCAATCCTGAAAATGGCTATGGCTCAAAAAAAATATATATATATGCAAACAAAATATCTGTATATATATATACATATACATATACACAATATCTGGTTGGTGGTATACCTACCCCTCTGAAAAATAATGGAGTTCGTCAGTATTCCCAACTGCATGGAAAGTCATAAAATTCCATGTTTCCAACAATGTGAGGCCCCCAGTGATTTTTGTTGGTTTAGATTCGCCCCAGTAACTAGTTCGTTATTTGCGTACCATAAACCATAGTGACATTGGAGTTATTGGAGTTATGTGCACCAGCTTAGCTATCCAACGGGGGCCTCACATTGAAACCACCAACCAGATCTTCGCCTGTAGGGCATGGCATCTCCCATCAACTCGGCCATGGACTCAGCTCGTGTGGAGATTCATGGTCCACCAAAAAGGGGACAAATCCCCTATGAAAAACCATGAGTTTCCTGTGAAAAACCATGGGTTTCTACGAAAAACCATGAGTTTCCTGTGAAAAACCATGGGTTTCTACGAAAAACCATGAGTTTCCTGTGAAAAACCATGGGTTTCTACGAAAAACCATGGGTTTCCTATGAAAAACAATGGGTTTCTATGAAAAACCATAGGTTTCCTATGAAAAACCATGGGTTTCTTGGGGATGTTAAAAATATTGGGGGGAATGGGGGTCATAGAATTGTGATGGAAATCCCATTGAGTGGGATGGAATTGAGCACTGTTTTCGGAAAAAATGATGATCAATCAGTGGATGGAATGGGGGGTGATAGAATGAGGTAGCTCATTTTCACACAGAGCCCAGATCTCTAAGAGTGGTGAAGTTTATGTGCAACACAATGGACAATATACTGTATAGGTTTTTGGGGGGGGATGCCATGTATATATATATATATATATATTTATACGTGTATATATATATATATATGTATCAGTGTGTGTGTGTATATATATATTTGCTGTGCTAAGCTGACACTCTGAACATCTAAAGAACAGCAAGAAGTTTGTCCTGGAACCACCACTGGAAACATGTTTGGTACTGACAGCGAGTGAGGAGTTGAGTGACACATCCCAATCACCAAACAAGGGGACGAGAATATTTTATTTAAACTTGAATATAAATAAAACATCAGCCCAAGACGGCAATGAGAACAATTCAAGAGTATAAAGGTCGTTCTTGCTTCAAACAGCAGCATTGTATTCTGAAGTGATAGCTAAAACAAGCAGGTCGAATCATAGAAACCCAAACATAGGACTGGATAGCCTCAATTCAACCGTTTAAGCGAACTTGCAGCCATGGCCCGTTGAGTTCGTTGATTTACCGAACTTAAAGATAATGATTTTCATTTTTTTCCAGTTCGCAAACTGTGTTTCTACCAGAGGATATCATAAGGACTGGATTAATCTACTCCATCGAGCTTGACCATGGCACATATAGATTAAATTTTCTCATGAACTATGGAACAATGGAAATATCTAATGGAATAATGATAACTATGGAATCATGGAAATACTAGTGGAATATGGAATGATAATTGTGGATGGAATTATTAGATGGAGTGTGGCATGATAAGTGCCTGTGGTAATTAATATCTGTGGATGATGCTCACTTTCACATTCACTTTGATGAGGTAAGACACTCCCAAACTAGGATGCCGCCAACGTGCCCTAAACGGTCGGGGCTTCACGGTGATCTGTTTCGCCTGCCCGGTGCAAATTCCTTCAGTGTAACGAGTAGGTATAGAGATATGCCATACGGCCATACAATATGCCAGGTATAGTACATCCTGCATATATCAATATATCATATATCAATATATCATATATCAATATATCATATATGATAATATAATATTATCATTTATTTAGACAATCTCCAATGATACGGTAGAGTTGCATTTATGTTGGGAGTCCGCTTGAGCAAAATCCTTGGAAATCATGTTTTCAGGGTCACCTATATAAAATATAGTAACCAAAAATTTGATAGAACATTAAAACATGATCAAATTAGTAGGGATTTTTCATGATTTACTTTTCTATCTTTCTGGGGACTGGATGACTATAATCATTCACATGAATTGAACAGGTTGTGTGAAGGAAATTGAACTGCCAAAACCTCATACCGCTTGTAGTTGACAAGCATGAGGATGTCACAAAACAATGTGGACCCATCAACCCCTCAGTTCTTCAGGATTCAGATCGTGATCAAATTCGGCAAAGGCCCCAATTTCTGAGTTTTTTGAGAAATTGACAGGACGCTTGCAAACGAAGGCAGAACAACGTGAAGCCTCTCATCTGGCCATACTCGCCATGCTAGTACAATTCCCAAAGCTGATATGAAGTCAGTTTGGGGGTGATTTTCCTTACAAACCATCATTTATGGTGAGCTTCTCCAGTCTCAGTAAGGTCGCTTGAATTTATCATCCCAACGAACATGACGAGGACGTCATGAGTCGGGGCCCACGCGGCCGCCTGCGGTCGCTCCGTTTCGGGATCACGCTGCATTTCAAAGTGCACCCTGTCGCCCATCTTCAAGTCCTGTCATCGGAGTCTCCACCAGCCATGTGTCAGAGGAAAAGCCCCAAAAATCACCTACAGAAACTGAGGTTTGAACCACCAGAAACATGGAAATTGCAGGAATATAGCATACATCACCTGCAAAAACTGAGCTTCGAACCAGCTAAAACCTAGAGGCCTAGTGGATACGGCCAAAAACACCCATTTTGAGCGCGAGCCCCCACCTTGCCAAAGAAATAGATTCTACATATGTTGGAGCCGCCAGGAACGGTTCCGACCCTACTTCTGAGTCTCCCTGGGTGGGTTTCCACACTTTTTTTCTCAACCATACACTACCAAACACGCAGTGGGTGTCATTTTCATCGCTTTAAAGCGAAAGACATGCACTTGGTCTTCAACCTACCTGCAAAGGCCTCTTCCTATGAACGCAGTTGCTTCAAGGCCTCACCTATGTTGAAACACAATCCAGACAACTTCATCTTCCCTTTCCGAAAGTCAGCTATTGCCTGTCGGGCAGCTTTGAGGCGCTCAACAGGCCTTTCTCGCAGTAGTTCCTGAAGTTGTTGGGGCGTTCTGGCCTGAAGTACTTGCTGGCTCTTTTCCAGTTGCAGTACAGAGACCAAATAAGTTTCCGCGAACACCTGGTCGGGCTCAATCCCTTGTGTTTTCATGTCCTTGTATGCAGAAAGGATGTCTTGCAGTTGGCCAGTCCGAAGGGCTCCAATCAAACTAGTAAACGAAATGATGGTTGGCTGCAGTCCCAATTCTGGCAACAAGTCGAACAAATATTTTCCTGCACGGTGCATTTTGTTGTTCCAGCCCCAGCATGCTCGCATGGCAGAGTTCACATGGTTCACATCAATGGCAATTCCGCTGTTGTTCATCAGCTCCAAGATCCCTGCCGCCGTCTCAACATCTCCCTCGTCTGCAGCAGACTGATTCTGGCTGATGCCAAGACTTGGGAGACATTGCAGACTTCCAATGCTTCGTCCCAGACCTTCCGAACCTCCGTTTTTTTTCCCAATTTTCCGTAAATCTTAAGTGCAAGTGTGAAGATTGGTTGATCTAGTTCTTTGCAAGATTGGTGGCACTCTTCGTAAATCAATGATCCCTCCTTGTACTTACGACACCGAAATGCTCCATGCATGGCAGCGGTGTAGATTGGCACTGCAGTTCCAGTGTATGTTGCCAGAAGGGATCGCACCTTTTTCCAATCCATTGACTCGCTTGCCCTCGATATGTTGCCAAGAAGCCGCTTTTCGTGAGAACTCAAACTGAAACCGGACAAGGACCCCCCAGCTTTGATTCGCAAGGCCAATCCGCTACGTTCCCGCACTGAACTCAAGGACTGCTGCTTGGAAGCCCAAAGAAAAGCCTTCCGAAAATTCTGCCAAGGAAGGATTTTCGCAGTACGGTGTTCATCAAAATACAAATCAAAAATTTTTGCCTGTATTAAAGAAGTTTCCAATCTATCACAGATCCTTGCGCTTCAGGTTTGGTGAACTTGCCTGGCAAGCCTTGACTTGGTATATGGAACAGCTCCGCTGGCCACAATCGGATTCCACGTTGGGTGTGACTTGGGCGGAATTGTGTCTCGACTTTGAGTTAGCCACGGGAGTGACTCTTCCTCGTGGTGCTTCCATCTGCGCTGAGCTCTTTGGCAGTCGGCTTCTTGGCCGTCAAGCAACTTGGACAATGGAAACCAAACCAAATCAATATAATAGCCTCGAGCATTCTGTTGAAAAGGTCATCAAAAAAGGAAAGGTTCGCTTCCAATGCATTGTTTGCTCGCGCTCTGGGGCTTGGAGTGATCGCAAAAAATTTTTGCGCCAAACATGCGCTGGCTACACTGAGAGCCCAGTTCAAGCCATACGACGCATTAGGTTAGAACAAAGTGCTCGAAAATGTTCCTCAGATAAACCTTTGCCACCAGCAACTCTTGATGAAAAATACCAGGTTTTTGCAGACCTGGTGGGCTCTCTTGCTCGCCACAAAAAATGCTTTCATGGTGAAAAGACTCTCACCTGCCGTGCTTTGTGTCCCTTGGGGCTGCCTAAATGTGCGGGTCTCACTCGCCGTCCCATTCTCTTGTACCAAGAGCAGATTACCTCTGAAATGATGCACATCGCACAGGTCCTTCCCAAAAAATTTCTTGATTTGGACCGTGGGTCTGATTCCAAGCTTCCGCCATGGGGTTCCCATTATTCCCCTTACAATATTGGCCTGCCTCGGCCCATTTGGCGGCCGCCTGCCCCGGACTAGGTGGTCGCCTCTATTTTTGGACGAGGAGGGTTTCGACAAACTCACGTCCATTCTACAACGATTACCAAGGACTGCTGCTTGGGTGTGCTGAAGCAAGGGGAAGGCAGAACAACAACAACCACAAAGGACAGTAGGATGAGAAGCAATCCTGGCTGCGCATGCGCTCGCATGGCTTTTTTAAGAGACTGATTGAATTTCAGTCAGGAAAAGTGACACCTGATTAGTTCCGGAGACGAATATCAAACAGAGTGCTTTCCGTAGTTGAAGGGACATTCAGCCATATCACTACCAAACAAATGCAGCAAACGCGCTGTTTTTCGAAGTGCGATCATACTCTGTAGTATGAGTGATCATGTCATTTCACTTTTCACCTGCGATGTATGTGGCATGCAGACATGCAGCCTACGCGAAGAATGATAACCTGTATCAGTATCAGATGCGAATTTTGGGAACCTGTTTTGTATATCGATCGACGTATGATGGCGCCAAACACCACGTTCAAACACAACCCACAAGATCTCTCCTCTACTATTTAAAGCAAACATGATTAATGATCTACACCCTCCAAACAGACACGTTCAACAAAGACCAACGGTCGTCAAGTACATGAGCCTTGCAGAGAAGGATGGCGCAAAACAGGCAGCCGGGTAGACTGCCAGACTCTGTCTGGTGGTGGGTGCAAGACGGTCTTTCTGCCCGAGACCGTGCATCCCTCGTGACAGCCTGCTCCCGCTACTCTCTGGCGACACAAGTAAGGACTGTGGCCTGCTGCTTTCAACCAACCCTGACATCCAGCTGAAACATCCATAAGTTTAACTAATCTTGATAAGGGATCAAATCTCCCACCCCCTCTGAACAAATATGCTGAATGGTTTATTAAATTCCACTTCTCTTCCTAAGGGATCAACGCCCCCAACCCCTCTGAACAAATATGTTGAATGGTTGATTAGCTTCCACTTATCTTCATGAGGAATCAAATCCCCCACCCCCTCTGGACAAATATGTTGAATGGTTTCAAAGCTGGTTGACGGACGCAGACATGTAGCGGGAAGTCTATAAACAGGTTTGCACCACTGCTCCACAGGGATTGCAGGAGGGGTTCATGAGGGTCACCATGATAATGATGATATTATGATGATGATGATGATCATCATCATCATGCTGATGATCTTGATGACCATCGTGATGACCATCATGATGACCATCGTGAGAATGTTGTGTTCAGTTGACTTCGATTCCGGCACGGTCAAACGTAGGGTTTGCAGCGTATATGATTAACACACTAGAATACACTAGATATACATATGTATATATGAATCATGATTCATACACTCTTAATTTGACAGTCTATTTCGCCTACTGTCAACCTAGGATGTTCACTTAAACCGTTGGCTGTTTCACTGGGAAAACACGAGTTTCAGGTCACCCCAAGTCGAATCTATATCAACCTATCAGCAGGATAATCCACCATTAATTCAGATGATCGTCGGCCATGTTGTCCCCATTAAACATGGTAGTTTCCTGGTAATTTCCAATCAAAAATGATGATGTCCTAGATGTTCCATGATTTTCCTCATTACACTTGGAATTCTGATCTATTGCCAATCAAAATGATGATTCTTCCTTTTGTTACAGTGGCATTTCCCCGACCATTTCCCATGACCCCCTATTTCAGTGACACCTGGAGATCAGTGATGAGCACATCGCAGCCGAACTGCTTTTCCCCCGGCTGACAACGGATCCAGCCATAGCCTGCCAACCCGTGCGGTCATAAGGGCTGTTGAACATGGCCAAGATCAAGGTGAAAATAGGGGGGACACATGGGAAACTAGGGTTGTAGAGGTAAAATTACAACTTGTCCCATCAAAAAGGCTGGAGAAAGCCTGATCAACCAATTTGGGGACAGTCGGGATGGAATTTGGGGTGGTTTACTGTTGGGTAAACACCACATTGCATTATGCCACTTTCGGATATCCTGTGAAAAGTGCTTTTTGGCTGCTTGGTCCATGTTTCCCATGAAAATTCAATAATTGGAAAATATGATTAATTATATAAATAGCAGAAACCCACCACGAACCCAGGTTGACCCCAACTTCATGTGACTTAATCTTGTAATCAAACCAATGGGAAACCCCTCATGATGCTTCTTATAGAGATGGAGGGGGTCCATTGCCATGTGATTGCGAAAGGTTTTTGCCGTTTTCCAAGCGACTTTTCCTCTCGTAAACAAACATGGCAAGAATAAACATGCCGTAGATCAAGATGATGTTGCCAATTCCAAGTGGCGACTGCGTATAGCCTATTTCAGACTACTCTACTCTTAAGGGTATGTCCCTTTGCAACTGGAACATTATCACTGCGTTCTGCCTCATCATATCCAAAATAATCGCTTCCCGATTCTCCCTAACATAAAACATCGCTGCAAGAAAATCTGGTTGACTATCGAATCTGTTCATTCTGGGGGGCTTATAAAGAAAGGGGCTTAGAATTGCATGGCTATGCAAAAGATGTGCTGCTTGAGCTGCTCAATCCTTTGTTCGGACTAGACAAATGTTGACACAGAAAGGATGGCTCCAGAAACCTCAGTCCTTTCTCTTTCGGATTTGTTTTTCCTGACCCAAATAGGGTTTTGTTGCTGTCCAGCTTATCCCTGGAAGTATCCACCCCCTTAAATCATGGTTTTGTGGGCCAAATTTGCATGCTACCCCCTGGCCATCTGACATTGTAGTAACACAAATCATGAAAAATCCCTGGTTTGTAGATGATTTGCCCCTTTTAAAACGGTGATTTCCAGTCGCCAGTTGAAAATTTCATGGTTGGAAAGGCTGCCTGAATTTCCGTCTTAGCCCAGTGCCTTGAGCGTGGTTCACATAGTTCACCACGCCCTGAAGAGGAAAGCAGGACAAATGATGGGTGGCTGAGTGCTATGCAATTCATGTCCTTCCTTCCAAAACTATAAACGTTTCTACCGTTTATAGTTTATATATATATATATGACAATATTGTATGTGTATATATATATATACACATATGTATATGTAATAGGCACATATATTGTATATCTACTGCGACATATGAAAGTCCAAAAAAGACTTTACCACTGTCCCAGCCCATTTCCGTGCTCCCAACCTCACATTTGGTACTTTTCAGCACCATCAAGCTAGCAGCTAGTCACCCCCAGGGTTCATGAGAGGGTTGAGTTGTGACCCCAGCTAGCTGCGATTCGATGCTTGGTGGGCCCAATCGTGACCTCTGAAACTTCCACGACTGTTTTTGCTGGTTTTGGGTGGTTACAAAATCTTACACAACAGAGGGCGGGAAAAAAAAAAACATGCCAAAATCATCAAACATCTGTTGGTGAGTTGATGCTTGTGAACCTCGTTGGGATCATCTTTTTTTAGTCTGATCTGCGCTGGTGGACCGGCGTCCTTCTGCTGGACCTGGTGACGAGGGCTGGTCCCATGATCCATCATGGCTGAACAGCAACTGGCAATGGAAGACTGCTGCTGGATGCTCTTTTGAACTCTTTTGGTTGGCTAAAGGGAACATTCTACAGGAAAAGATCACGAAATGGTCTGACGACTACGCATCTTCCCTTCAATTCTGGAATTGTTCAGGTTCACCACTCAGCTCATGACAAGTGGCCTGAGAACATGTTCTATACATTTCTATACTCTGTCTGAATCTTTCTTCTTTGGGGGTGAAACACACCTACGCATGTCTTGAAATTGGGAACTACGAGTACATGGAACTACCTGATGGGTCCCTGGGGGACGAAACCACCTCACAAGGTGAGGTCATGTCATCTTGGGAATCGTCCCTCGAATCAAACCCGAAAATCAAGGTCTTTGTTGAGGCCTCGAAAAATAGACTGCCAGATGTCAAAACCGTGTCACTTTTTTGTTGCCGCCCTTAGTTTTTCCAAAGCTGGGATTTTATGTTGCACACCACCAGCATCCTTTTGTATCAACGAGCCGCGAGCCTCTTTCAAAGGGGGTCCAGCGCAAACCCCGAAGACAGGGGTATTCTTTGCCCCAACAAACATCTTCTTTGCCGCAAGAGCTATTATAGTGCAATTGATCATCCAATCAATTGGTGAGCAAGGCAGACTTGAGAAACTGGCGTTTCAGAGCAACGATAGAAGAAAATCGTGCTTTGAAATTTGAAACCACCGAAAATGTCCTTTTCCACCGTTTTGAAACCAGTACCAAACTGATCCAAAATGATCAAAACATATCCAAACTGTATACATACAATATCCTCCTAGATATTGCTACAAATCCTAACGTTCAAGGTCCTATCGTGTGGTTGGGAACTCAATGGGTAGCTCCAACTGGCAACTGCTGGTTATCTCCTTGAGGGTCGGCCGCGCGGAGCAATGGGTTTCAAGCAGCGTTCATAGGTCACCATGAACTCGGGGTAGCACTGCTTGTCATAGACCACGAATTCACGATACCTCGGCGACATGGGCTGCGATGGGTTTCTCTGAAAATGCTGTGCCAAGATTGCGATCAACATGTATTCGCCATCAAAAATTGAAATGAAATGGGTGTATACCATCCGCCATGTTCATTCAAGTACCAAACTCAAATATCATATGTTGGTGATTTAAATCCTGTCATGCATGTATGTAATATAAAAATAATAATACAACAAGAACTATAATATATTATAATATAATATAGTATAATATGATATGATATAATATAATACAATATAAAATAATATAATACAATATAGAATGATATAATAAAATATAGAAAAATAATACAATATGAAATAATATAATACAATATAAAAATAATACAATATGACATAAAACAATATAATATAATATACTAAAATAAATTCTAATAAAAACATAATAGAATAAAACATGGTGAAGTATAATACCATACAAGATAAAATACAATATAATATAACAGAATAGAATAGAAAAGAATGGAATGGAATAGAATATAATATATAATATAATAGAAGATAATATAAGATATGAAATAAAAGATAATATTATAATTTAGTAATGTAGTATAAACAAATAATGTAATATAATAAAATGAACATTTACTAAAATATAATATAATACAATTTTACATTATATTATAGCGTATTTTAACATATTATATTATATTGTATTATGAATAAATATTATTACATTATATATTATACATATGTATAATACCAGTACATGTATATGTATATATATACACACATATGAATATATATATATAATATACACATATGAAAATATATATACCGTATTATGGTCCCATGATATCCCCCTTATGTCACCCCACTCGCAACTCGCAACGGTAACGCGCAAATTTTCCGTTCAATGCCGAGCATCAACCTCTCCCGCAGGTCAATGTTCAAGCCTGCCATGACGGAGTCGAAGCGAGGATGAGAACAGATGCAGCAAGGCACCTGAGGAGCCGCTTGGAGAGGAATTGGAAGATCTGAGGAAATCACAAATGTTCATGGTAATAAAAACGGTAATGTTAACGTGATAAAGATTACCATCTAATATCTGAGTAAATGAATTGGTCTGAGTGAATAGATGGTAACTTAAATAGCAAATAACATCTAGAGCCAAGATATCCTTGAATAAGGTACCCTATAAATAACATCAAATATGATATATAATCAGTAATGATAGTCTTGTTGAAAAACAGCTTTATATAAACAATGTAAGGAAGTAAAAAGATACCTATATAGCAATATTAATAATGATGCTTTTGGTGTTTATAATAGTACTAATACATAGTAATAATTGACAATAGTAGTGAGAGTTTTGTTTAAATACTGTAGATGGAGGGATCCTGCACCAGTTGGGATGCTTATTGGGATTCCTATGAAACACTGGGACAATAGTGGGATTTTAACGGGATAAACCATCTACCAACTTGTGCCGGATTTATTCCATCCACATTTTGTTTTAGATGCATTAGCTTAGATGTATTAGCAATGATGTTACCGTTGCTTAAAAGAATGTTAGTTTTTTCTTTGGTATAAGAATAGTAGTGATACTTATGCCTATAGAGATGCTAATACTACGATTGAAATTTTGGAAACATTGACATATGTGCCAAGACTGCCAAGATTAAAGCAAGGTATACTTTGGTATGATCATCCATTCCATGTCAGGAATGAATTAGTGACCATCCCCCAGTATGGGTATTTTACCCAAGTTTTGACGGAATTCGGCGAGCGAAGTCGCAGCACCAACGCACCTTCCCGGTGAAGGGGGGTACGAGGTGTCAGAAAAGAGTGAGTGAACCATGAAACTGTACAACACGGATCAAGCCGAGCACAACTGCAAGCGGTGAACAGATTGGCAAGCAACTAATTATTGGCTCAAGATAAGCTGTTTGCGTCAGTACCTTCGATGGCAAACTGATCTGAGTACTTGGCAAGCTACATCTGTCTGAAACGACCATCATGCCAAGCAGACACGGGAATAAGGCAAGACAAGCCCAAGCACAACATCAAGTCCAAGAGACCTGTCGATCGAAGCAGTTCCACAAATGGGCCAAGGTCATCAAACCATCCTTCAAAGGACGTGACACGCATGTCTGAGCAGACATCAAGAGTCAGGAATCTAGAGAAATCAGCCGGGCTAACTTCAGAAACTGACAACACCATCACTGCGTCAGGACAAGGATCACCACGATCAAGTGCAAAGCCAAGCAAGTCAGTGCAATGAAACGGTCGCTGATCAAACTCAATTTGAAGAAATGCAATGACATCACCAATGCACATGTTCCTTTTCCGGGCAATGACAGCTGGACCAAAGGTGCACAGAGCCATCAAGGTGCCACCAAAAGTCTTGTGGAAAGCTAATACGCATTCATGGGCAACATCCAAGGAAAGACAAGTGAAGATGGGAAACTCCAATCCGCAAGAATCTTGAGGCATGGCTCCAACCTGAGAACCACCGCTGAAAGGTTCAATGACCTGGTGCAAGTCATCGTCACGACATGTGCGGCATTCTGGGGTCGGCATGACACCACCTCCATCAGAGGACATATCCAACAGGTTGGCAGAGACAAATGCCTGAAGACAAGTCACGGATTTGCAACCTTCAACAGCACACGACTACTGGTCCATGGTGACCTTCAGCAAGTACCTGTCTGTCACATTGTGCGGGCGCCTTCCACGTGTCAACCTAATTGATCTAAAGCGGTCCGGAACCAAGCAATGGTGAGGATCCACATGACAAGCCAAGACGACACAGAACTTGCTCATCGAAACAGCTTCCAAGTCAGTCAAGATGCAAGTCACTCGGTAATGGCATGGGCACACAGCAGGTGACGGACTGCGGTACTTCATCATTTGAAAGAATGGCCCAGATGTCAACTCCATGGCTCAATTGGTGGGGCGCCACGCCACCCCTCCCACCTCGCTTCGTGGAAGCTTGAGCCTCGAGGCTACCCAAGTTTTGACCATATGATAGGAGCAATGACAATGATAGTACATGATAGTACTATGTTACTGATACTTGTACTAAACATATTACTAATACCGATAATAGTACTAATTGACCCATCTGAAATGTTGGGCCAAGAACTTCTTGGGTGATTCCCCTTACCAACCATCATTGATAGTGACGCCATGGTGACTTGGTCATAATTAACCTAGAAAAATTAGGTAGCCTCTTGAATATCATGGTTTGGAAAACCAGTTTCCTCAATGGGGTGAAGCCCATCTCTTGATATTTCTTGAGTGTTTGGGTCACTTGGGGATCGCCCATCTTGCAGCTCAGGACTTGGATTTCTCGACGCGCTTGGGTTTGATGCGATTTGGGGTGCAGACATCCAACCTTTGTTTCGGAAAAGTGTGAACTCAAGTCAAGTGGCTTCAGAACCGAAGTCCGAGTCTAAAACCTTCCACTTTGCATCACTTTGCATTACTTTGCAACAAAAGAATGACACATATCTGAAAACCAACCAGCAAATACTTGTGCAACAATGCTGCCAGGGAATTCCAAGCAAGCAGAATCATCATTGTTGGACCAAAGGAGCACCATTCCCTCCAAGAAAACCAAAAAAAGAAGCTGGGGGAAGATCATCCATATAACTTTACCCTCTGCTAAACTAATATAACCATTGAACATCACCATTTTTAATAGGTAAATCATCTCTAGATGGACCATTTTCCACAGCAAACTGTTAGTTTACCAGAGGGCATAACTTTACACAAGAATCAACAACACCATTCTTCCCACGGCGTTGTTCATGTCAACTTCAGTTCGACGTTCGACAACCGGCATCGATCCATCAAGCACTCCATCCAAATGGATTCTTTTCTGAAAATAGAATATCCCTACAATACATTACAATACCATGTCTTCATCATATGGAGGTTTCCTAAAATATGGACACCCCCAAATCATCCATTTTAGATTGGCATTTTCCATTATAAACCATCCAGCTATTGGGGTATCCCCATTTATGGAAACCCCATGTTTCCCATTCAAATGGCTATTTTGGGGTTGCCAGTATTTTCAGACACACCCAGCAGCAACTGGCCATATGTTGATACCAAACCAGCCAATATGGGGTGTCGAGAATTATTGAACCACAACCATCTTCACTTTTGGCAAAGCTTTCTCTCCCCTGAAACCTACAGGGCACCCTGTGACCCGCACCAGATCTCCAGGGCGCTCCCTTCATTCGCCATGGAGTAGAGCCTGGTCGCAAGTCTTCGTTCCAAAGGAGGTTCAGATCAAAGTGGCCTGCAACGGCAGAAGCGAAACAAATCTCCCAGAAAAACAATCAAGTGCTAACGAAAAGTGAAAACCCAGTGAGCTTGAAATAGTCTTGAAAAAATGGTGTGTCTGAACACACGCATTAAAATGGGGTTGTCTGAAAGTTTAGGGGAATCCCCAAAAAAGAGAGCGTCCCCAAATAGGGGCCCCAATGTTTCACGTAATTTAGCTGTTTTTTTTAAATAGTTTATGTTCTTTCTATTTCAGTAGTATGTTGTTTTCTTAAAGATGTTGCTGCATTTTATTTTGTTTGATTTGCTCCTGCTACATTACTATTTGATACTATTTGGTTATTGTTTCATTTGATTCGTTACAGTGTTTGTCAAATAGTATACCGGGAGTAGTTGTAGGGCCCAAATCCTTTGTTCTGAGTTGTTCTTCCAATGGTTTTCTGCACAGCCGCTTGGAAGTAGACCCATGGCAAGCAGGCAACTCAACATGTGTATGTATTTGTGTCTGTCTATGAGTATACCTAACGTTTAGTAAGATAGCAAAAGTGACTCTCTTCTTTGCTAAGGCAGATCCCCTTATGACATCACCATAGTATAGATTCGATCAAAACATATGGATAGATAAAAATGATATACAAAAATATGATCTTCCAAATACTGTATTTCTAAAAAAACGTTGCAAACTGTGTCCCCTATTTGGGGATTTTCTGAAACAAAAATGATGCGTCATCATCATTTTCACTCTTAGCATTGCAAGTGTTCTTGATAGTGTGATAGTGGTAGCAGCATTTTCGGCGACCAACGCCCCGATTTATCGGCTCCAAAAAAACACGTGCCTTCAATGCACAGTGGACGTCTGAGCTGTTCCAAAGACAAGTCTGTCTTGTAGGGGCCTAGAGTCGAGTTGCGAGATCATGGGGATCACCCCTTGGGATTTTTGAAAAAAGCTCGTGGGCCACATGGCTGAGCTGCGGAAAATGAAGGATTCAATGATTCGAACCACTGGATGATCCTGGATGATGTATGAAATAGGTATATATTTTCAGACCAAGAAATCTGGATGATGTCCATGGTTTCCCCGGAAAAGATGGCAAGAACTTTGTAGCAGGGCTATCTCCAGTTCGAGACAGACAGGGTCCTAATTGGTGGCAATGATTCACCCCGATGGCTCAGGACACGGGACTTCGGGACCTCAATCATGTCATAATCCAAGTAGAAGAAATCCAATGGAAAATCCAGGAAAAAGTGATCCTTGTTGCCCACGGTTACCATGGTTTTTGTCTAAGCCTTCACCAAGATGATCACCCCAAGTAGAGAGATTGGTCCCTAGAACACTTGAGTGAAGTGGTATCATCCGGACCTGAGTGGGGGAAACTGATCAAAATTTGCTTAAGCAATTCTAGGTGGCATGATATGGCCTGTAAGCTAATATAAGGTCCCCCTTTCCTCAGCACTTTTGTGTTTAATCACGTGGTAGGTATTCAAGTGGAAGAACCTGGAGATGAGACTATATAGATAACCATCATTTTTTGTAAAAAAAAGAAAGTTCACATGGAACCCAAAATTTAGTAAAAGATCTGTTCCAACCCCCAATGAAAACAGGTTCAATGTGAACTTTCTGGTGTTTTTTTTGTACAGGTCCCAATGATTTTGTCTTGAGATTGGGTGGTTTCAACTGCAAGGTGTCCTTTTCCAACGTCTCAATTCTTAAAATATCTTTAAATCCCCCCATTCATCGATGGATCACCCACCTGAGCCCCCCACAGCCCAGCGTCACCCTGGACAGAAAGACGGTGGCTCGCTCTCCAATGCTGCTCTGGTGGCGAAAAGGTCGCCCAGGGAGGTGGGAGATGCAGTATCAACCAATTTTGAAGTCTGGCTTAGGAATCTGAGAAATGTTCACCACGGACACCCTTTAAGTCGGTTAGGGTATACCACATGAAGGACACGTAACCCCAAAGCACAAGCAAGATCAATGCTATTTGGCACAGCTGCTCCATCAAAAATTGAGATTGGCTGAAACTGAGCAGAATATGTGGTTTCTTTCAATGGTGGGCAGCATAATTCAAAAGAACTTCAATCCGCAAACAATTAGAGATGTGTCTAGTCACAGCGTCGATCACTGTTTGGTACACACTACCCTGTGGTAGCCAAACCTAGCAATGGAAAACTTTGATGTTCCACAGGGATACTATCTAAAAGCGCGGGCTTGTTCTGGTGTTACATTGGATTGCTGGATTTTTTGATACATTTGAAAAGCATGCACCCTGTTCGTTGTTTAAAGTTGCATCCTGCCTTGTTTTGGCCCATGATATCCCCTTAACGGCCCCCGAAAGAATAGGTTTCTGCGCATGGGTTTGTCTGAAAATAGTGTCCCAAAATCCACAGGTTAATAATCAGTTCCCCTATTAAAACAATTATTTGGGGCTATACTCCATTTTCAGACACCCATATTTAGGATAACTTGGATTTATGGTGCATATATTGAACCAAATAGATGGGGTCACATTGACATAGGCCAACAAACATGTCACTGTGGGGCGGATGCCTTCATGTAGTCATTCAAGGAAATAATGTGGCAACCCAATTCCACAAACAGTATATATAAGCAAGCAGGAAAAAAAAAACTAAACCTCCCGGCCCGCCAATTTTTTTAAAAAACTAGGGTACATTCCCAATTTTTGAGGGGGTTAATTGTGATGTTCTATTGTGGCAATTGAAACGCAATATGTAGGAGACAAGCATACCAAGAAAAGCGATTCAGACCCCTAATTATAAAACTAGTCAACCCTCAGGTGCTTGTTCTTGGCGTCCAACTTTTGATGGTTTTTAAACAGGGTTTTGATTTTAATATTAGCCGAAAATTTCGAATTCCAATTGTTGGCAAGATGTTATATAAGAAAAAATAATACATAATATAATATATATATATATATTAATTTATAATATATAATATATATTATATATATACTATACATAATATACATAATATAATATATATATAATTTTTTAAAAAAAATAATACATAAAATATAATATATAACATAACATTGTATGAATATTATTGTATATTAAATATACAATATATAATATATTAAATATAATATATATAATATATACTACACAAAATAATATAATATAATTTATATAATATAATATAATATAATAGAATATAATATTTTATAATATAATATAATATAATATAATAGAATATAATATTTTATAACATAATATAATATAATATAATATAATATTATTTTATTTTATATTATATATAGTATATATAATATAATTAAATAATATATAATTTGATAATTATCAAACATATAATACATAACATATAATATAATATATATATATATTTATATATATTATAATATATAATAGATAATAGATGGATTTTGATAGGGATTCGAGAATTTTGAAACCAATTTGTTTAGCTTGCTTTTAGCTTTCATTATGTAGTCGAAAGCTGGGCTTTTATTAGGCGGGGCCAGGGGTTTAGTAGGGGGATTCTAAATCATCCAAGTCATATTATGGGTTTTCTGAGGCTCCAACGGCCATGTCCCTCATTTTTTAATGGATCTATCTGGGAGTTGATCAAATTTTCTGAGTTCAATAACCTACATAAAAAGAACCTTGGGATCATTCCCTCCAAACGATCCTTGCGGTCACGTGCGTTCCCGGCCCCTGGCCCCGGACATAACCACTCTGCGGCGAGCCCGGAGGAGGCGGCCAATGATACCTCGGCCGTAGCCTGAGTGGTTCTCCCAACAGCAACTGGGGTTTACGAGCAGAAATCGCACACAGAAAATGTAAAATGAAGTAGTCTACGACTTGTCTTCAATTTCTTCAAATTGGTCTATAGATGTTTATAGATGCGAATGATTGGGTTTAGGGTGGGTGTATCTACAGCTGGATTGGCATGACCGGTGGGGCCAACCTGCATCGTTTTATATCTCAATTACCATGCCCATGTGTGGGGGACAACAGCAACTGAATCATAACCCATGTTTTGCAAGTTGAGGGGTTCATAACATAATTGATTGATCATTTTGGGCGTTGTTGGTAGAGAAACCAATGCTTTTGGCATCCATTTTGAGAAACATCACACTTGTCGTAGTAAACCATCCCGCTTTTTAGGGACTATAGGGGACTTGCTTTTGGACCCCAAAACAGTTCAGAAGGCCCATTGACTTTTGATTCACAGCCAGGGCCATCCTTACGACTTTAGTACCCAAGGGCTAGACATTTCATCCTGCATGACGGAGTTCGGGGAACCATTTTCCTAAGTCCAATATGAGGCATGAGATTCTCACTCGGCTGAGTGCAATAGAGAAATAAACTAAGTGAGTCCATGGCAGCCGAAGGGGCCATTGAGTCTAGTACTCCCATTCCAGGCTCATTTCAGGGATCAAGGACTCAAGGACCAATCTCATGGTTTCGTGGAAAGGCCGCAAGAAACAACTATATCTGGTTGGTGGTTTCTATTCGCCCACCAACCTTACACAGGCTACTGGGGGTATTGGTTCCTCCCGGCTCAGTGCCAGGTCTATCCCAAAAACCGCTTTGGGGGTTCTCCTCAAACCCACGGCCTGGGCTCCCACCTCTCACGCAGCTCAGCGCTGCCTTTTTTGAGGCAAAACGGCTATGCACAAAGGTCCTTGTGCGTGTCATCCTTGCAGCAGGGGCCATGTCAACCCGTGGTGCTGGTTACTACATGTTAAGGGAATCTGCACTCCCCCTGGGTGACTGCCGATAGGCTGGCAACCACCCCTTTGAGAATTGGCGGATGCTCGCTTCTGGTAGCGGAGCACCCCTACAAAACACTGCCCAGCTCAAGCCGTTTTTTGGAATCCTCATGAGTCCTCAATTTCCAAACACATGTTGCAAATCTGGTACTGTCTGGCATTGGGATGGCAATCACCATCGGCATGAGCGGTCCTACCAGGCCCTATACAAAACACTGGTTCTCTCAGTCCCACTCCGTCCGGTGCACAAGCAACGCACCATGGAGACATCGTGAGATTCCGAGAGTTCGCCAGCGTCGGGCAGAACCTATGGGTGTGGAACCTTGTGCCCCACGGCGTGATGATCGGCCTAAACCCCTCATCGCCGCCCTTCTTTCCTTTTCCACCTCCACCATCATCTCGGCTTCCTTTCCCTTTTCCTTTGGCGGCCATCAGGTCACCCTTTCCCACCACGTTGGGCGGCTCTTCGTTGGGGTCGAGCTCGACCTCCATCATCATCCCACCACCCAACAGCGGCATGCTGCTGGTAGCGGAGCTGGCTGCTCCACGGCCGAACCCCAGGTCACATGCCATAGACCTCCGCAGGGGCGATGTGGTCGGCCATGATGTTGATGGTGCCGTCCTTGGTGTCTGTGGGACCCTTGGTGCTGTCGCCTTTGGGGTGTGTGGAATCCTCTGTGTTGAGGATGCTGCTTGGCCTGTTGATGGCCTGCTGGTGGGTGTGTGGCAGGGTAGCCTGGCCATGGCTGCTGCCAGTCTTTCTTCTGCCTCTTCTTCTTCTTCCAGCCTCTGTCGCAGCTCTTCCCGATCTCTTCGGGCTTCTTCATCCTCCTCTTCATCTTCTGCTGCCCTCGCTTTCGCCTTCGGCTTCATCTTCGCCTTGGCTGCTCGCCTCTTTGGCTGGGCTTTCGCTTCAGCGGCGTGGCTACTCCTGGCTTCTGCCACTCTTCGCCACAGCGCTTCTTCCTCCTCTCTTTCTTCTTCTTCATCCTTCTGCTGCTGTCTCTCCACATCCCTCGCATGCCGTGCTCGGATGCGGTCTTTCGCCTCTGCTAGGCGGATCCTCACCATCAGCCACTGCACGAAGAACACCGTGCAGCGAATGCACGCCACCAGGCCTAGTGCTGCAAATGCCAGCAGCACCAGGAAGATCCAGTCAGGACCATATGGCCTTCTTTCTTCATCTCCTGGCTGTGCTTCTGTCTGCGTCAGCTGAGAGATCAGCATGATCATCTGCAGGATCTTTGCTCCTTCTTTGAGCTTCTCCTCTGTCTGGGCCTTGACCTTCATCATCTTCGCCCCTTCTATCTTCTCCTCTGTCTCCTCAGCTTTGGCTTCAGCTTTGGCTTGGGCTTCAGCTTTGGCTTCAGCTTTCTCCTTCTTTGGCAGTCCTGCCATGCCTGCCAGCTTCTTCAGGTGTTCAAACCTCTGGGCTGAGAGGGCTTTCGTCCCCATGTCAGAAGGCATCTGTGCCCCTGGGACGTGGATCACCATCCAGTCTGCCTTCTCAATCCTCCATCTCACATTCTTGGCCTTCATTCGGAGGTATCTCGTCCTCCAACTGCCATGGGGGTCAGACAGGATGCTGGTCGCTGCCTGATTGTCTGTGAGTGCTGTGCAGCGGAGCATCTTCTCCTCATCTTCTTTGATCTCCTCCACCACGACTCGAATTGAGTCTCCCAGCGCCAATCCTTCCACTATCTCCCCCAGTTCCGCCTCAGCGGTAGACAGGGCAATGGCTCCCTGTCTGCTTGACTTCCAAGCAATGGGTGATCCTCCAACCTTCACGATGGAGCACCCTTGGCAGTCTTCTCCGAAGGAGGCGTCGGTGAAGCTTTGGAGCCCTTCTTCTTCATCTTTGGCTGTGAAGAGCAGGCCATCATCTATTGTGGCTGCGAGGTAGCCCCAAACTTGAGCTGCTACCTGCTTGACCTCTCTCGGTCGCTTCAGGATGTTTGATGCCAGCAGTGAGACTGGATACATCAAGTCCATCCGGCTCCTCGTCACCAGCCACATCAGCTCCCCGACAATCCTCTGTCCTTCACGGACATCTTCAATCTTCTTCTCTTCCTCCTCCGGCCCTGTGAACCACTCTCGGCCCACTGGCACTTTCTTCTTTGGCCACCCTGCTTCATCCTTCCCCAGGTTCCTCTGAAGCAGGTCATAGGTGTACCCTCTCTGGGTGGCCATCCAGTCTCCATTCTTGAGCTTCCATAGCTCCATCCCGAGGAATCTCACCCCGGCTTCATCATCAATCTCTTCTGGTGGGCTTGTCTCCCACAGGCTTCTGATCGTGCCGATCACTGCTTCCAGGGCTTCTGTCTCCCCCAGGATCAACAGATCATCAACGTAGACGACCAGGAGGGCCTTCATCTCACTGGTGTCTTCATCCTTCACCTTCCAGATATTGGGCTCTGAGACCAGGGGCTCTAACCTGAGCTTGACCCCTCTTTCGGTCTGGATCTTCAACCTCCTCATGGTGAAGTCCCGGAAGTCACTCCATCTTCTTGGTGACTCCCTGAAGCCATAGAAGGCTCTCACTGCCTCCCACAGTTCATCAGGCTTGGCGAGTCCCATCTGGATGAGAAACATCGGCGGCTTCACCAGCACTCTGTGTGCTCGGAGCTCCTCTGTCCTTCCTTCCTCTGGCCCTTTTCCTTCTTCCTTCTCCTTCAGCTTCCTTTCTTCTGCCTCCTCATCAAGCTCCATCGGCGCATTCAGGAACGCCGTTCGGATGTCCATTGACTTCCCGGACCATCCTCTTTTGGCTGCTTCATCTACAGCCAGCCGCACGGCTATAGCGTCTGAGCCTGACGCAAAGAGCTCATTCTTGTCAGCTCCTTCAGCCGTCACAAAGTTGCCGCAGGCAACAATTCGGACTTTTCTTTTCCCCTTTGGATTGGTGGGATCAGGCTTCAAGGTGCATACGAGCTTGGACGGAATTATGTCCAACTCGCCCTTCTCCTTCCTCTCCTCCATCTCCTCTGGCGAAACCTTCCTGAGAGCACCCTTCGTCTCAAACAGAGACCTGATCTCATTCTCCACCGCTTCTTTCCATTTGGGAAAGTCCCTTCTGACTTCTTGCATCCCCACCACCTTCGTTTGGAGCACTTCATCTGGAGCTTCCTCCTCTGAAAACTTCCTCAACTTCCAGAGCTCCTTCATGGTGATGTGGACATTGGCTTCGTCATCTTCCATGACTCTGCCCATCTCATCTCGGATCACTTCTTGGATCCTTCTCATCTTCACACGTCTTTCCTCTTCCTCTTCCTCTTCTTTGGGAGCCTTCAGCTGCCGGACTGTCATCTTGCTTCTTAGCCTTCTTCTCACCTGGACTGGATTGGTCTCATTCTCCAATGCAATCCACTTCTCATCGGTGATGGGCTCTTGGACGTTCTTCATCACCGTCCTTGACAGCCGGTCCCATCCTTGGTCATCACGGATGTAGTGCCCGTGTGACTCCCATGCTGGGAAAAGGTATGTCACCATCTCTTGTGATGGCTCAAGTTCTTGTGATCGCCAGTGGCGCTTCCTCACCAGCACCTTGGCAAAGAATGGCGGCCAAGTGATCTTCTTGTCTTGGCGAGCCACTTGTAGTGCTTCATTCAGGTGTCTTGCGGCCAGCGGCCAATGGTCAACTCCAAGGCCTGCTTGTAGGAGCATGACCCTGATCTTGGCTTTGACTTCTTGGACGGCCCTTTCGCATCGGCCATTACATTGGGGGTCATCTCCAGGCGTCCATGTCTTCAAGATCGCTCTGGCTTCCCACCACTTCTGGAACTTCACGTTGTCAAACTCACCACCTCTGTCGGTGTGAATCTGATTCACCACAAAACCTTCAGACCTCAAGCGGAGGTAGAAGAGCTGCACTGCTCTTACAATGTCCTCAGCGAGCTTCGTCGCTATGGGTAGAACCATCCGGCAGTATCGGATCTTCACCCCGCCATCGTCTTCTTCTTCTTCGCCATCTGTTGGCTTTGGCTGCTTGTGTGTGTCTTCTTGTGCTGCTTCGGGCTCTCTCGCCCTGCCTGCATCTGCTTGTGCTGCTTCGGGCTCTCTCACCCTGCCAGCGTCTGCTTGTGCTGCTTCGGGCTCTCTCACCCTGCCAGCGTCTTCCTCGGCCGGCACTCTCGCCGCCTCTTCTTCATCTGTGTCATTGAAGATTCCACCCTCTATGGGCTCTCCTCTCTGTGGCCTCTGGGCCTCTTCTGCCGTTCTCTCGGCATCTCCTTCTTCTTTCCACTTCTTTCTTTCTTCTTCTTCTTTTCTCATCGCCAGGTCATCCTTTCTTGGCCGTCCTCTAGGCCTCTTCTCTGGATCCACCTCCCCATCCCCTTCTTCAAGGTCTGGTGCTTCATCTGGCACTTCCACCTCCTCTTCATCCGGGGCAGGGTGGCCACCGGGTCGTGGATCAATCCACGTGTAGACCCCGACCAGCAGGAACTTGGCGTGAGTTCCTTTGAGAATGTCTTTGGCCCTCTTGAAGGGTCCAGACAGGTCTAGGGAGAGCACCCCTGCTCTGGCATGTCCTGCTTTGCGGTGTGGTGATGCTTTTGCCATGGCTTCTTGGCAAATGCGGCAATCCCTTCTGAAGGGTGTGTGGTTTGCGCGGACGTGCTCGTCCCAGCTGAGTGGTCTCATCTTGGGCTCTCTGCCGCAGACCTTTTCCACCACCTGCTCTGCCAGGGCTCTCATCATGCCAGGCGCCCATCGGGCTAACTGCCTTGATTCCTTCAGCAGCTCTTCTGGGGTCTTTCCTTCAACCTCCCTCTTCTTTCCTCCTGGGATCCTTGGTGGAGCTTCCACTTCAATGGTTCCTCCAACCGTCGTCGGCTTGTGAGCCTTGCCTCCCCAATTCCATTGGTCGAAGGTGGACTCCTTGAAGCCATAAATCTTCACCATCATCTTCCAGATCCCAGTCTTCCACCAACTTACCACCTCCTCTTCTTTTGGCACCGCTGGCTGTTCGATGGCGAACTGAGTGGGTGTCTTCACACCGTTCACCTTCCGGACTTCTTCCGCCACGATGAACAGCATGATCATCCTGAGCATCAGGATGTCATCTTCTTCGACCCTCTGCCTCTCCTTTTCGGTGAGATCCTTCCTCCCCCATTCCTGGTCTTCATGCCAACTCCTCAGGGGTCTTGGTCCCCACTCTTTTTCACCGAGAGGCCTGTGCCGCAAGACGCTCCTTGTACGGCAATTGGGTCCACCCATGACCATCTTCAGCCAACCTTTGAGTGCCAAGCGCAACAGCGCCGGGAATGCTTTGCCTTGAGGCAGCATGTCCCACTTGGGGTCTCGGAGACAGTCCACCTCGAGGACCAAACTCTTGTCTCCCCCCACTTCATGAAAGGCACGTCTGAACGTGTACCCTTCGTCTTCACCTGCATAGAGATGCAGAATGAGGCCTTCTTTAGCCCACTTCTTCCTCTGTCTTCGATTGCCACACATGGCAACATCATCTGTTGGTGGTTCGAGGATCTTCTTCCTCAGATCTTCTGGGATTTTCCTGAAGGCTGGGTGCTCCTTCAGGATCCTTTGTAACCATTCCATCTCCTCATGCTTTGCTTGTTGCTCCTCCTGCTCATATGGTGTCTTCGGCCTGATGGACCGGACCTTCTCCTCGATCTCCTCGATGAGCATCAGGGCGTCGTCTCTTGAAACTTCAGGGCATCCTCCACGAAGAACCACCTCCAGTTTCCCCTTCTTGGGATGTGTCACACGGACTTCATCTTCATCCCAGGAAACCCTACATCCCAGAAGATCTACCACCATCCCCATTGGCACGATTGGCTCTGTGCCTGGGTTCTTGGCCACCATGATGCCTTCCTTGGTCACATGGAGTGTGGCCTCCTTTCCTCCGGCTAGGGAGACTGTCACCTCCTTGTAGCCCTTCATCTTCTCTCCTTCGCGCCTCCCCCTCAATGGGTGAGTTGCGCCTGAGTCCAAGAGGCCTCTGGCACCTCCTTCTTGAAGCCTTGCCAGTCTGAGGACCTTGACGGACTTCAGCTCATCCAGCTGCTTCTGGAGCTGGTCAATCTTCGTCTCCTTGTTGCTGTCTGCTTCTTTGGTGATCTTTCTGAGCATCCTGTTGGCTTCTTCCATCAACTCCTTGATCACCTGTCCTTTGCCACTCTCGGCATCTTGATCTTCTCTCTTTGGCTTCTCTTCTTCTTTCTCTTTCTTCCCATCTGGGGAATCTTCATCTTTCTTCTTCAAGCTTCGTGCACCCTTTCCTTCACCCTTGGACTCCTTCTGCCCTTCGGGGTTTCTGAACGAAGGTCTTGGGCACTTGTCTGCAAAGTGGTCTTTTCCACCGCAGTTCCAGCACCTCTTCTGGTCATCAACCTGGTGCTGCCATTGGCAATCTTTGCCCTTCTTACAGCCGTGCTCCGTCAGGAAGAAACGGCAAACGTCTCCGGGTCTGGCACCCTTGCCTTTCCCATCTCCTTTGTATCCTCCACCAGCCTCCTTCCCTTCGAGCTTCTTCAGCCTGGGCTCCTGCTTCAGGGGGTTCTGCTCTCTCGGGGGGGGTTGCCTTCTTGGGCATGCCGGTGTGGGGGTCAAGGTGTGCTATCTGCTCTAACTCGGCCATCAGGTGCGTTGCAAATGCACCAACCGACTTGGATGTGGGGTTGCTGTCAACCTGAAGGTTGTTCCTTGCCAGGCTCACTCTGAAGCTCAGCTCCTTGTTCATCTCGAGGCTCTTCTTGACCACCTTGCCAAGCCCCTTTAGCAAGATGAACGGGTCCGGCTCGGACACAGCCAACTCACCTGCTCTTCTTCTCCATCTCATCCACTTCCGGAGCCCTTGCAGTGCGTCTGGCACCGTCTGTGCTTCAGGCGGGTTCTCCAGATTGGAGAGGATGACTTCCTTCTCAGCCAATCCTCCTGGCTGATATGTCACCAGCAGGTGACACAACACCTTCATCGCTGTCAGGCGTTTGGCGCTCACCAGCTCCTCACGTTGTGCCTCTGGCACCGCCTGCAGCATCATCATACTTGCACGGCGCTCAAGCCGCGTCCATCTTGGGTCTTCCAGCTCTTTGCTGGGAAGGGCTTCATGATGGATCCTTTCCATCGGGGACATCTGTTGGTGGGTGGCATACCATGCCTGGGCTTCTTGGACCAGCAGCTGCCACCACTTCAGGCTCGTCGCTGTGAGGTCTGACATCACGGGGTCCACCAACGACAGCCAGTCGTTCAGGTCAATGGGGGCATTGACATGATGCCATGGTGGGAGACGAGGCAGTTCTGGCTGTCCTCGCACCTATTCCACACCTCCTGCCAATCCCTTCTCCATCCTTATCCTTCAGCTCTCTCTCGAGCATCCTCTTCTGAATCTCCTGCATGTTCCTCATCATTGCCAAGAGTGCCTTCATGGACATCTCTCTCTCCTCTTCCTTAATTCCACCACCCGCTCCTCCATCTCTGCCTCCGGTCTTGACCTCCTCACTTCTGGGCTCCTCTGGCGTGGCGAAGGGATCTTCCGGGGGTGAAGGCGGCGTGTGGATGGCGATCTCATGGGGCGGACACGGTGTCTTCATCCACCTGTCCTCAACATCAACTCCTGGTGGGGGCGTCGGCCTTCTTCCCTCAGTTGGGGGTCTCAGCCTCCTTTCATCTTCTGGGGGTCTCAGCCTCCTTTCATCTTCTGGGGGTCTCAGCCTCCTCAAGTCTTCAACCACCCTGCGAAGCTCGGCATTCTCTGAGCGCCAGTGAGCTTCGTTCTCAGCGGTCTCAAACAACATCTTCTGCAGCAAGGTCTTCTCTTCCTGCTGCTCTGCCATTCGAAGCTTCACATCATCCATGAAGCCATGCATCCTATCGAGTTCTCGCTCGTAGGACTTCATCTCTTCAACCCTGGGGATGCTCTGTGCTTCCTCCAGGAACTTCTCAACCCCGGGGATGCTCTGTGCGTCCTCCAGGAACTTCGGCCTTGCAGCCTCTTCACATTCTCTTCTGGCTCGTGCTGTGTCCAGAAGTGGGGCTTGGGCTCGCAGCGCATCCATCTTGGCTGCTTGCTCAGGGGTGAACAGCGGCCCAAAGGACTGAGGCTTCCCCCTTGGTCCCATGACTGCTACTTCTTTGGGGGTCTCTGTGACCTTCCCTCCCCTTGCCGTTGGTGTGAAAAACGACCTCCCTGGCGTCTCCCCACCCCCAACACCCTCCCCTCCATTTGGCACCACACTCCCGCCAGTCCTCGGGGCTTCTGTCGTCCTCGAGGCTCCTTCATCAACTCCCTTTTGGGCGTCCTCTGTGGCTTCACCCGGGAAATCTTTTGGTCTTGCTCCCGTCTGGGCGTCCTCCTTGGCTTCACCTGTTCGGGCAGCAGTTCTTACTCCCAGCTGGGCGTCCTCCTTGGCTTCACCCTTTGGGAAATCTTTCAATCTTGCTCCCGTCTGGGCGTCCTCCTTGGCTTCACCTTTTCGGGCAGCATCAGCGGCGTCTTCAATCGCCATCAGTCTTCTTCCATCACCTTCGCGGGCTTTGGAATCGGCTCCCTCTTGGGATCCATGATCGGGCCCTTCAGCACCCTCAGCAGGTTGGGGCTCCGACCTCCTCCTCCGTACATCCATTGCGTCAGGTTTGGGCTCGTAACCTATTCGCCCACCAACCTTACACAGGCTACTGGGGGTATTGGTTCCTCCCGGCTCAGTGCCAGGTATATCCCAAAAACCGCTTTGGGGGTTCTCCTCAAACCCACGGCCTGGGCTCCCACCTCTCACGCAGCTCAGCGCTGCCTTTTTTGAGGCAAAACGGCTATGCACAAAGGTCCTTGTGCGTGTCATCCTTGCAGCAGGGGCCATGTCAACCCGTGGTGCTGGTTACTACATGTTAAGGGAATCTGCAGTTTCAACCCCTCTGAAAAATATGAGTTCGTCAGTTGGGATAATGACATTCCCATATATTATGGGAAAATAAAAAATGTTCCAAACCACCAACCAGATTATCATCAATATTAAACATCCCATTAATGTCATATGTCCCATCCCATTTCTGGAGTCAAGAAACAACTATATGATAATTATTGGTTTCGTGGCCATCATTTTTCACATCTGTCCTGGGTGGGCTCACTGCCCTGCGTACTGGTCCGCCTTGCAGGCCTGCAACCGGGTGACCCGGTGGAAAATCTCCGGGGAAATCATGTCCCATATGCTCCATGTATGGTATATTTACCTACATGACTGGGTGATTATTAGGGCAAATGTAGGTAAATATTCCAGCACCATGGAGCATCTGGGATGTGATTTCATCCAGAAACATTGGGAAGATGATGAGCCAACTGATTTTTTTTTGGCGGGCACCACCTTGTAGGGGAAGCTAAAACCAGACCAAAGATGGTGCTTTTAACCCAGGCATCATGGGGATACCAATGGTCATGCGGATTTAATAGGGATGCAATGGGGATATGGTGGGGATGTTATAATTGAACTGAAAACCATCGAAATCCTCAAAAAATAGCTGAATTTAGATGGATTTAGAATGTTTTGGCCCCATTCGTATCTGACAATTCATATTTTGGCAAATTCCTAAGAAATGAAAGGCCCCAGTTATACGTTGGTATATAACCTCATCTAACTATACGTATAAGTACCATAAACCCTACAGTAGTTATTGTATGTTATTGTAGCTGTAAACCAACTTATCTATCTTGGGGGCCCCACACAGGGAGAATCCCATCAAGATCTGTGCGAAGTAGACGCCCGAGCCGTACATGCCTTTCACGCTACTGAGCCTGGCTCGGATATAGCCGGGCAGATGGATCCACCGAAATATGGCGAATTGTAATTAGAAAGTCCTCCAAGTGAGATAACCCGTGAGCATAAGTTCTTGAGCCACACACTTTGTGAATTGGCTCTGGGTTTGTGTTCGTTGAAGCCCCATGTTGTTCATTAAACTCTGGCATTCGCTGTTTCATTGTGAAACCACTGACCATTCTTGCATGGTCATCTGAGCAAGTTGAGCTGTGGATCAGCGTATCACGAAGTTGGGGCAGTTGAAGCAGCTGCTATTTGACTGGCGAGGCCAAAAGAAACAAAAGCGGCTTGGAGTCTTAGAGGCCACAAGAGGCTCTGTGCGAGCATTGCTCCAAACCATATGAAAATTCTGATGGCATCTGAGAAGAATCTGACCCTGCAGGATCTGCGGCTAACATATTCCTAATGCCATAATGGTTTGAACCACGAAAACATTCTCATTGGAATTCATTAGTCTAGTGGCTCAAAACATCTGAACCACCAAGCAGTGCGCCAATAAGACAAAAACTTTAAATCATGGTTCAAAGTGGGCAAAACATCCAAACTTAGTCACACGGCCTCAAGTTTCTCCAATTGAAACCACAACTAACGGGGAATTTTCAAAACATGCGACATATCAGGTGAAATTTCCTGGCACGGCACTCGCCATTGCACCTGTCGTCAAAGCCCGAGTGTTTGATAGCATAGACAGGGGTCTTGTCCTGCTCTGCTGGTTCAAAAGGCAGGCTATGTGGATGCAAATGGGTGGGTCTCAAAATGGGGCCCCAAAATGAAACAAAAATAAACATATTGGGAAAATAAACGCTGATCACTGGATTTGCGGATACCTTATTTTCAGATACAACCATATTTGAATAGATGATTGTTTCATTGCCATGTTTGGGTGCACAACAGTATTCTGTAATACAGCATGTCCGGCGAACACACGAGATGACAAATTTTGGAAGCTAGAGATTTGGACACATTTGCTTCGCAAAGAAAAAACCCACAAGATCAAGCAAAACGGTTTACCCTCCGGTGTTATCAGACGTGGCACTTGAAAATGATCGTCTATATTTCCATGTTAGCCTCTGGTAATCAAACATGGCAATGGAAAATCCACCGTGCAATGTGGGCAAAACAATGCCATAAACCCTCCCCCAGTCATCAGCATTTTGATAGGTGGTATGGTTACCATTCCCAAATGGTTGGTTAATGACATTGTTTTAACCGTTTAACCAACCACATTATAAACATTGATGGGTGTTTTTCCCAGCGAACTAAACCTCCATGGCTAGGCCACGGGATTTGTCATGGTTCGTTTGGGGCATGTCAGACATGAACAAAACATTGCAATGTGGTTAAAGCAATACAGGCCATCCCAAAAATCACATTTTTTATGGATGGTATAAACTATCAGAACATGGGTGGTTTATGACATTGCTTTACTAACACAATCATGATTCATTTGATTTCCAATATTGCCAGGGCTGAAGGCGCTACCGAGCCGCTACCAGAGGGGACCTGAAAACCAATGATTTGATCCACATCCATCAAGATTCAAAGCAGCAAATTTTTTGGTGCCGAAAAATGATCAACATACCCGGCAAACGAACATACCATGTATAGTTGATGTACCTTAAAAAAACACGGTGATTTTACATAGCTATGTTAGTTTACCGGGTACATCACAGAAGTATGACCGGCAACTACCGTTTCCTACCCCTCACCCGGAGACATCCCAGGTGCCCTGTCCGGATCCGGAAAGATCACCTGCATGCGGATAGACAAAACCACATGGTCTGACCACATTTATTTACAATACATACGTATATATATATATTTATATTTATATTTATATATGCACATACGTATATATACACATGTAAACAATATGATAAACATATATATATATACATGTACATCTATATAGGTATGTAAATATATATACATTCCAAATATACATATATACATATATATTTACATACATACATATATACATATATACAATTATACATATATACATATATACATATATACATATATACATATACACATATATACATATTACACATATTATACATATTATACATATATACAAATATAAATATATACGTATATACATATTACACATATATACAAATATAAATATATACATATATACATATATACAAATGTACATACACATGTACATATATAAATATATGTATATGTATTATACATATATAAATATATTATACATATATACATATATACATATATACATATATGTATATATTAAATATATTATACGTACATATAATTATATATATATCATACATATATATATATACACATATGTAAATTACAAATGTATAAACAAATATTGGCATGCACATACATACATATATATACATGTTATATATGTATGTATGTATATGTAAGTACATGTTTATATATATATACACATTTTTAATGAATATACACATATATATATATACATACATATATACATGTTTTAAATATATATACGTGTATGCATATGAATTCCATGTTGGTTCCTTAATACCCTAAGTACTCCATATACAAAGTGCGCCTCCCAGATATAACTTAGACTCATATTCACCCATTCGACTGTAAATCTATCCATGAATTCTACAGTTTCCTATCTTGGAGGCTCCACATACAGGAACCATATGTTGGGTCTTTGCCTCCGATTAATGCACCAGATCCTCATGATCCTCCTTAATAAGGCCCCGGGCACAGTTTACATAACCACCTTTACCACTGGACCAATCACTTCTTTAATGAGGGTTGTTTCAACCCAACTTGCCTCGTCGAAAAACGCAAGGTCTATTTCACACTCACACATTCAGTTAGCTTTAAACAGAAACCAACATGCCATCTGCATTCAAAACCAAAACCCACAATCTGTGTGATGACCCTGGGACTTGAGCTGTACTCGGGAGCCCAAGGGCACGCATGTATAAATATACAGGCATACATGCATAAATACATTTAAACATATATATATACAAAACATAGTCAGAAACATTTACAGATACAAATACAAATGCAAATATACATATACATTTACATATAATTACATACGTATACGTATACATACATGCACATTTAGGTATATATAATATATACATTTATTTAAATTACTACATAGTATATTTGTATACACATACACATGCACATACATATACATATACATATGAATAAAATTACATATACATGTACATTACGTAGTGCTGTTTTCACAAGCAGTATCCATCAAAAAAATACAAAATGATATAAAAACAAACCTGAAGTCAAACTTAGAACCTTCAAGAACCTGTTTGGAAGGTTGTTGTCTTACAACAAACTGACATGGTTGGTGTTCCGTTCCAATGAATATTGTCCTGCCTGCCCAGTGTGGAGGTTCACGGCGCGGTGGCCGGGACTGCCATGAAACCTTGGGTTGGGTCATCAGCCGAAGCCAGGTCTGGTTAAAAGATGCAAAACATATGTTCGATAATGTACTGGTTGGTGGTTTTAACCATATTGAGAAATATGAAAGTCAATGGGGAGGATTATCCCATATATTAATTATGGAACATAAAAAATGTTTGAAACCGCCAACCAGATGTAAAATGAATGTGGTTCAATCAGTGTCAGGTCTGGTACGGTTGAATGTTTTTGACATATCTAACAACAAAATTACCGTATTTCGACTGATCCCCACCCTGACAAACTATTCTGTCATAGTATGGTTTCTAACATATCAACTGGAAACATATATGGAATGTATATTCTGAAATTATATCTGGCATCATTTCTGGCATTTTATTTGACATATCTTCTGGCATTCT